TGAACCGATGACGCCGCAACAGTACAGATTCAACATATACGGACGAACGACAACTAACCGAGCTTGGACACCAGTCTTACCTGCTTCCTCGACCATCGCCGAAATGCCACCGGCGACGGTTGGGTTTGCGCCCTCACCAACATTGGAACGAGTTCCCTCGATATTCGTATCGGTTGGAGAACCGACACCCGCTTTGCTCTTCGCTGAAGGCGTACGGGTGCCTTTCTCTGGCGAGAGGTCAAGACTCCCATGAAGCAGACTCTGCAGCAAATCGCCGAGTCGTCTGTCTCATTTCCGTCCCCCTTGAAGGACTTGAGTCTTCAGTCATATTCAGATAGTAACGATATAAACGCTAGTAAACAAAAGAGACTGGTGGACACCTACTAACGCAACGACAGAGGCCCTGAGCGGTAACTCAGATGTATTAGAACCAACCAACCAACACTACAACCCCCCCCGTGAGAAAAAGGGATGCGGTGCAGGAATGAGGAGGAGCCCATGGCGGAGGCGGAGGAGACCATGGCGGACGTTGAGCGAGAAAGAGCGAGAGGAAAAGAGCGAGGGAACAGGCGGGGCGCAAAGAGAAAATTTCCTGAGTATCCCGTTGGATGGTTGTTCAGGCTGATCAAGACCAGATGAACCAACCGCGTGAGTACTCAGGCTCAATCAAGGAGGAAGACTTGGTGGACAAGATGGAGATGTTGTGAGCCTTGCTAGTTGCGCCTCACAGTGGAGGTGTAAGACTCAAATAGAATATTTGGTTTTGGTAGGCTTGACTCGTCTGGCTTGACTCTTCACCCTGCTTGGCTGGGTCGCGCGCTTGGAGATGAAAGAATTAAGAGACGATAAGGATCGTCTCCTATTTTTTGGAGAGGAACGTACACATTTAAAAAAAGAGACGATGAGACGATCAACAGGATTTTAGAAGATGAACGAAGCACGACTCCAATTTTCCACAGAGGTCCAGTATTGAAATTTAAAGTGTAGAGTACCGCACTAATACACTCCTCACTCACACTTAAGATAAGTGGGTTTAAGATACCGAGTACTCAATTTTTTGGAAATGTTTAGATAACCCGGACACTCAGATTTCCCAAACCAGTAAGATAAGCTACGAGTACTGAGGTCTCAAATCCTAAGCTAATACTAAGACTATGCGTGGATTGAATGCAGCTAGTACCCACTATCTACCACATCACCATCTACATCCAAGTACTCCATATCCGCATCTTAGGGTGCCTCCCGACCACGGAATCTTTGGTTTCATCAATTTTAGCTTTGCACCTTTGCCTTCTTGGGCTTTGGTGGTGGCTCCTCACTGTTTCAGGGCATGGTTAGTAGTAGGGTATGTAATAAAAGCTTCTACCAGGTAGTGGCTATAAGATATGAAAGATACTGAGATTGGGCTGCTTGTAAGATAATAACTCAGTGTTGCTGTAGCTGAATCGGTTAAGATACCTACAGTACTGGACTAAGAATAGAGTTATCTTATTGATGAGGTTGGAGTGTAAGGTTACCGGTTACTGCTCCAGCGTTTTACACTTACCACCAACTGGTTACTGGTACTAGTAACCAATACCGGTACCAGGCTCAAAAGGTTACTCTAGCTAGAGTACTCGTCCGGGAGCCAGGAACACGCGTCCAAGCCAACTCTAACTCAAGACTTCACAACTGGCTACTCACAACTCACAGCTCACAGCTCACAACTCACAAAGCTCACAACACAACAACCTTGACGAAGGCAACACTTTATTCCAATTACCTATCATCGACAACTATGGCGTCGTCATTCGAGTATCCACAGACTGGAGAGTTCTCCTTCCAGCAAGCATTCTCAAACTTCTTGACAGATGAAGAATTCCATGATGTTACCATCAGAGGCACAGATGGAGTAACTGTAACGGCGAACCGCATCGCTTTGTCTAGCCGCTGTGTGTACTTTCGCAAGCTGTTCCTGGCTGGTTTCAAGGAAAAACAATCTACAGAGATCATCATTGGCTTTGAGGGATCAATTCTCAACGCAGTCGTTGAGTACCTTCATACAGACACCGCTGGCATTCTTTCGAAGAAAGGCAAGGACCCAAACAGCCACGCAGCGAAAAAGGCTAACACAAGTGATGGAATTTCAGAGACAATTCAAGTGGAGTTTCAGACTCTCCTAAAGCTAGCAGAGGCTTCAATGTACTTTGACTTGCAAGGCTTGCTGGACAAAACTGTGCTGAACATCGAAAATCACATGAAGACATACCCAGCTCTGTCATTGGTTGTACTGGACTTTCCTTCGGCTCCACAATGTCTCACCGAATTGGCATTGACCACCATTACATCCAATCAGGAAGAATGCTTCAAGGAGCCTGTTATGAGTCATGCCGCTCTGGAACTGTTACTACTGAACAAACAAGAAATTTGCATGGCAGAAGTCACCGCATTCAATCTCATTCATCTCTGGGCTGCTGTGAAAGACAATCAACAGCTTGCAAAGGAATTGGTTGCACAACATGTCAATCTAATGCAGATTCGTCCCACCGATTTGGAAGGCTATGTGGCCGCATCTGGACTTGTGACGGAGAAACAGCTTCTTGATACTCTCAAAGCGCAAGCTGTGTTGGCACAAAAGCAAGTTGGGTTTCCCTTCCAACAGCAGCCGATATGGAAAAACTCAAGATCCAGTTGCTTGAGCTACACGTCAGAAGTATGGACACATGAACATGAGCCATGGACAAATGATTTTCTTGGCTGTCAACCCATGTTCACCGGGGAGCATCAGTGGTCAGTTGTGCTGAAGACACTTCTAGATGATGAAGACATAATCTTTGGTGTGATCGGCTCAGAGAAGGCGGGCGAGGTATTGAGTCAAACAAAGTATATCTGGAAAGATGTTGGGGGATGGAGCTACCGTGGTGATGGGATTGCGACAATCAATGGAGATGCTTTCTCTATGGAACATCCTTTCTTCACACAAGGTGACACTGTCACCTTTACGTTGGATCTGAACCCTGGCGGTGAAGAAAATGGGAGCTTATCCATTGCTGTGAATGGTGGTCCAGCTTTCAAAGGAATCACCAACTTGTGCGATCACATTGGCCCGGGCGGCTTTCTTCCTGCCGCATCTCTTCTAGGCTTCGGCGACTGTGTTGAAGTCACGGAGATCAAGGAAGTGTGGGCGTAATGTGTTTCAAGCCGTTCAGCGCGTTTGCACGTTCGAGTTCTTCAGGAGCAGGCTAAGCACACCGACAGCACGAACAAACTTCAAACACTCTCTGCGCTCCAACATTTTGCTCTGGCGCGTACCAGTACCATTTAGACAAGTACTAGTACTCGAGGACGACCCAGGTGTTTCCCACAGTCAAGTCTGCTCAGTACTTCTTTCTGATTGCATGGATACAACATTTATTTATTTGTTCGCGACGTCGCACGAAACGACGTACGGTACTACCATGTCCACTGCCCGCTATTGAGTAGCCTCAGAAGCAGTGTAAAAGCAAAGCTCAACATAACATATCCCCTTCTTTTAAGCTAAGCTTCTCTAAACTTGATTGTAACTTCCCCATTTCAAGTCAACTGCAACTGCCCACAAAACACCCACCCTTTGCGCTTATCTTTTGCTCGCTTAGTACTTGCAGCATGTGCAACAGGTGCAATTCACTTCTTCCATATCTACGTTGAACGTGTGGAGGTGGGGAAGATCACCTCGTTCCTTAGCACCACAAATGTAGTCCATGTTTCCCTCCAGCCATGTGTTTTGGAGGAAAAGTTCTTCAATGTTAGACAACCGACCAAGTTCCGTCGGGGCAATTCCAGAAATGCCGTTTCGTGAGATCGCCATGAGCCTCATCTCCAGCAGATTCCCCAACTCTGACGGCAAAGTGCCCCGCATGTGATTCTGCGAGAACTTGAGTGAAGTTAGCATGGTCAAAAGACCAATCTCGCTGGGAATGCTTCCGGTGATGCCGTTGAGCTTGTTGACGTGAAAGACAGAACAGTTGTTCCAAGCTCCAATCGAGGGAGGGACGGTCCCTGTAAGAATCTGCTGCCCAATTCGAAAGTCTTGCATCATCGAGAGGTTCCAGATCTTTTCGGGGATCGCTCCCGTCAAGCGGTTGGACTCCAGCGATAATCTAGTGAGCTTGGTGAGAGCCCCAACTTCGGAGGGCACCGTGCCCGTCAAAAAATTATTGCCTACGCGAAAGGATTCCAGTTCCGTGAGGTCCCCTAGAGCGCTGCCGTTCATGGATCCCTCCAACTTGTTGCTCCACAAGTCCAAGCGTTGAAGTTTGGATGGCAACACGGAAGGAAGTCGCCCCGTCAGAACATTATCGTTCAGTGCGAGCGTGTGCAAATCGGCAAGCATGCCAATTTCTGGTGGCAGTCGTCCCACTAGATTGTTCTTGGTGAGATCAATTCCCGTCACCGTGTCGCGATTGCACTGAAGGGCCCCGCTCCATGTACATTCGTGGCTGGGTCGCAAGAACTCGTAATGTTCCGTCCAGTTGTGCTCTCCGCCAGTGGAAAAGTAGAGAACCGCCAAAGAATACCGCTGACGTAAATGATCGGGATCATCCAGTGACACTTGCAGAGAATCTTCCCATGCAATCCATTCCAATGCCTGTTCCTGGGGAGTCTTGGTGCTGTTGTCTTCTGGCGATCCAATGTCTTCTCCACCGACAATAATCAAGACACTGTCCTCCTGTTGTGGCTCCCAGGGCAGAGCTACAATTTCGGCAATGCTCTCGTATCGTACATTGGGTGAGACGGTGGGAGACAGGGTGGGTACGACCGTGGCAGGTTCGCCCCCGTACCGCAGCGCCAGACCGGTGGCCACCCCGACGATGATGGCAACGATCAAGAGAGATCCCAGAATGAGAGCCGTGAGCTTTCGTGGGGTCCACCATTCAATGGGTTTGGCATCGACCTCTACAATATCGTCGACCGCGTGCGCTTCAATGAGGTTCCCGGTCGTAACTTCGTAGTCTCGTGTGTGCGCATTGTCCGTATCAGTCTTGTCGTCGGGATCCGTGTTGTTGTAGATCGTCGGTACTACGGTGGCTGTCTCGAGGTCGGTTGGTAGTGGGGATGGGTAATCTTCCTCGGTCGCCGACGAAGACGCATCCGACAACTTTTCCAATGAGGACACGGCAGAATGTTCAAAATCAATCGGCTCGAGGCGAATGGATCCTTGCCCCGGTGATTGGGAGTAGGCTCCTGGGGTGTTGTTGGAGTGACGAGTGCCCAAGGTGTTTGCGCAACGCTGGAGAGACGTTTCGGGAAAGAATTCTTGGCTGTTGGTGACGTTGGCCGTCGCCAGCTTCATGGAGAGGAGGGGATTCCCTGTTGGTGGTTGTTGTGGAGGCGGAGCCGATGCTTTGGACTCTAGCTTGGCGTACGATGCGAGCGGTGGTGGTTGACAAGAACCCTTCTGAGGCTCTTGACCTGTGACAGTTGGCTGAGGGTTCTCAATCGATCCCTTGGCGGAATCTGTCGTCGGCTGCACAGTCTCCTGGGTGCTGCCTCTCCTTCCTGAAGCTAGTGCCTCTCGTTGTGCTATCCGTCCTAGAGGAGCCGATGTTTGGCGTCGCGGTTCGGGACATTGTGGCTGACGAATCATGGATGTGGTTGTAAATCGTCGACGCTTTCCATCCTGAGAAGAGTACCCAAGGTCGTCGATACCAGCAGCCGCCATAGTCTGAAAGAAAGCTTGTTGCGCGGCATCCGTTGTGGCCTCTTCTCTTTCGCGATCGGAAAGTGCTCTTTCGGTGTTGTTGGGGGGTTTCTCCTTGGCGGTCAACTGAGACCTACTGCTGTTGTCGTCGTACATGAAGGAGCTCGAAGCGACAGTAGACGCGTCTCCTGATGGTGGATTCTTATTGTCACTCATTGATGCGTTGTTCGTTTTGTGAAAAGTACCGTAGTCGATTCGATCGCACCACTTTTAGTTGTAGTTGTGGTTGTGGTGTTGTGGGCTGTGGCTCCCCGATGCCGGGATTGCCTTGATACCCTCGATAGAAGTTTTAGTGGTGGTTCGATTTCTAGCGTTGTTGGGCATCCGAGATCAGCAGTGCATGCAATTGTCAGATGTCAGAGCATTCGTCAGCTTCCTCTTTAGCGTCGAAGGGAATGTCCCAGCTTAAAGTGTTTAATGCATAGTGCCCAGACTACGTAGGATCCCAGTAATTATCATAATTCTTACGTGGCTAAACCCTAATGTATTTAAGCGTCAATTCGGAAGGTGGGAAGGCAGTAGGATGTTCCAATGTTCCAATGCATTTAAGCATGTTACTATTATTTTATAGTAGTTACGGTATGGTTCGCAAGTCATGGAGTCATGGTGGTGTGGTAGTCACCAGAGAGAACTGGCAGACCGCTACGCTACGCGTGACCCCGCAGAAAGAACGCTCAGGTGATGTGCGTCAGTACCGGAGCTGTAGGTACCAGGTACGGTACCGGTACCAGCCTTCGGCCTTCTCGCTCTTTTCATGAAGAAAAGGTGAAAAGGTTGCCGAGGCGAGAGACACTTTAAAAAAAAATTAATTAACACTTGACTTGACACTTGACACTTGACACTTTTACTTGACCTCTTGACCTCTTCCTTGACCTGGCACATGAAGTAGTTTCCCTCATAATACCGTACCGGTACGTTTGGTTTTAAGTGCTGTCATCACCAAAAAAATTCAAAATTAAATAGTTTGGATGTTTGGGTAAATTTATTAGAAAAAAGAAACAAAATTTAATCCTCAAATTGACCCCATCAAGCTACCGTACCCACCTAGCAATATGGGTGTTCTAGAAACCCTATTATCTTCAAGTTAATAGACAGTTCTGACTTCTCCAAAAAGAGTAGATATCATTCCAGACAACAACAAAAATGAAAAAGATTGCATTTTGGCTGAGATACCGGCATTTGGATATGGCGACTTTGGATGGCAAGCACCCTGGGAATACTGGGGAGGCTTGCTTTGAGTCCAGAAAGTGCCCAAACCACGGAAGTTGATGTTGGTTGGTTAACTTGCCACCGGTTTTGGTAAGGTTGGATAACATGGGAATGCCGAAACAGAGCCCACCCATTGCCTCATCACCACCTAGGACCCGCCAGTTATAGTCTCGATTATCTGCTGCACATAATGTGCCTATGGCTTCGAATTTCATTTCTGCATGTACTCTACTGCCATCCCAACCTGGGCAGGTCCATCCTTTTGCGTGGGCCTAAGGATGCTCTAGCTGTCATTGAACTTGATGTTTGCTCCTTGCCTCACATATTCTATTAACACTCTGGGAGCAAATGGAATTTTATTCAATTTTATCACATGATTGTTAAGAAAACGTGTTCCCTAATTTACATTCCAGACCAAAGCAAAGGTACGGTAGGGCTGGCGAACCGTGCGTACATGGTACCGTACATGGACATGTATGTACCAACGGGGCGAATGCATACGACTGTACTATTTCAATTAAACAGCTAGCAAGCTAGAACTGTAGTCAACTTTTATTAAAAGTACTCCTGTGCATACCTCTAACTCTACTATGATATCTCTAGCTTTTAGCCCAGGATGCACCGGTCCGGAAGATGTAGAGGCTGTGCTACCACTACCGGTACTCCGGAGTACATGTACATGTACTTCGCTCGTGTGGAAGTAAGGTAAGGTGAGTGCTGGTGAGTAGAGTAGAGTTTGCTTGCTCTTGTATTGCAACAGTAGGAGAGTTGCAAAATGGGCTCAGCTCTGCTGTCACGGTACGGTAGCCAATCGTCAGCTCATGTTTCCTAACAGTCCATCACCCCAATTTCGGGTTTGCTCGGACCCAATCCTCCACAGCACACCAAACTCATTAAGAATCCAGCTGGAAACCAGCCAGGGAGCTCAAGGGCTATTCGTTCCAAGATGGACAAGATAGATGGTCTAGCCAGAAGCCAGTGGAAGCAATGAGGCTGGAGGAGATCTATTTCTCTGAATGTCTGAATGGAGGCACTCACAGGCTCACAGGAACAATATGTCATTGTAACAACTACATGCACTAGCTAGCAAGTACCGGTAGATACTGTAGCAAGGCTGAAGAACGGAGTCTAGCTACACGTAGTTGGTCTTGTTAGCCTCTTATTACCGTGCCACTCTGCACTGATGAAAAGTTGATTCGGTTCATGGCTTCTAGCTACTACTAGCAGAGTACCAGCTAATAGCTGCCTACCGATACCAGAAAATAACCAACCAAGCAACCAGGCCTCAAACCGTCAAGCAAAAGAGCACTGCTCGTTGTCTGAAACAACAGACAGCATACTAGTAGCCACAGCAATCTCTGTCGACGCGCTGTCTCCTGGTTTGCAAACCTAATAGTAGCTTACTCAATAGCAATCACAACACACTGTCAAAGGGGGCGGTGGTGGCCGCAAAGTCGAAGTGAAAAGTGAAGCAACGTGAATGGGTGTACCGCACTAATAGCCCGAACTAGACTAGTACATGTAGAAGAAGTGCGCGACTGATTCTTTTCATTAGCCTGAGCCTTAGTGACAAATTGCTACAATTAAAGATGCGTCGCAATGATGTAGCCGTCGAACAGATCCATTTTGCTTGATGCCTTCACACAAGGATACCACCTTTGTCCATAATTTCTGGTCTCGTTTGCTGCACTCAGAGACTTCAGAGTTGAGTTGTTTAGAAACGATGCCGCCATCTCCACCACGTCCGAAATCTCCCAAGAGCAGCAATGCCCCGAAACCTCGATCTCCTGCCAATAATAACAATAGTGGCGGCACGTCTCTGCGATTGAATTTGGGTGGTGGTACCAAGGTCAAGGCGGAATCCCCCAAGCGATCGACGAGCCCCAAGCCTCCCTCTGGCAATTCTCCTCCCTCTGTGTCTCCCAGCAACAGCAAAAAACGAAAATATACCCCACCTTCGAATATCCCGCCTCATTTGGCATTGGCATCCTTTGCCCGGGTTCATCACCAATCATCCCAATTATCTTTTGTCTTGTTGGCCAACCAATGGGCTTGTCAGGGAGAATCCATTCTCTACATCACTGATACAGCTCCTCCATTACCCAACACCACACAACTTGCCTTTCATTTGCGAGGGACTTGTCATGTCGATTCGGTACAAGTCGAAACTGTGGGAGTAGTGCCAGCTTCACTGCCATCATCATCATCATCACCCAAAGATAACACTAAGAAATCTTTTTTCGAAACCTGGAAAGCCTCCTTTGATCACATTGATCCATTGGAACATGTCCTCATCAAACCAGCCACATCCTATACCGATCAGGACGTTATCGTGGACAAGGAGGGAAATACCATTAAATACGATGCCGATGCCCAATGCACACGCGGTGCCGCTGGAATGACCACGGGCTTGCGAGCGGCCAGTATTGCCAGTAACATGGGAGAACTACGAATGTCCATTGACCGACCATCTAACAGTGCTGGAAGACGCAGCAATGGAACAGCCTCACCCGAAGAAGCCAAACGACGCCGACAATGGCTCACGGAACAGTGGAAACAAGATTTGGAAACCACCACAACCCTCAGCAGCAGCAACAAAGCAGGCCATGATTTGCATCAGACATTGGCGGAACGGACCGAACAAAGGCGGACGGCTCGATTGAAACTCGTGGCCGAACGACTCGCGGAAGCATCGGATACCGAACATGGGCGGAGAGCCTTTAAAATTCGCATTCGATACCACATTGCGCTGGGAAAACAGCCCTTTCATGCGGGTGGGTTGCACATCCTTCCATCCTCCAATAATCTGCTGCCACCTCATGTCTATACCACAGCGGGTGTCTTTGGAGATCATGAAGGATCCCGCAGTTGGTTGCCCTGTTTGGACTCGGCGTCGTACAAACATCGATCGTCTCATCAATTGACCATTTTGGTGACAGCACCCATGCGAGAGGGGTTGCAGATTGTGGGTGGTGGAGAAGACTATGGTGTCCATGAAACATGGCTGCATTACAACAACAATGACAACAAGAGTGATGATCCTTCCAAATTGGCAGAGGAACTGTTGGGAGAGGAGCATGTCAAGTTTCTAACGCAGCAACAACGAAAAATCAATCAGCAAGTAGAACAACAGAAACAACAAAATAATGCGCCACACGTCATTCCTCCCGACAATGATGTTGTCATGACCGAGGCTGTCGACGCAGGAGAAACAACAACCACCATTATTTCAGTCGACACAATCTTGGCAACACAGGTATGGGCTTCGACCAGTTGGATGCCCGTTCCCGGTCGATCTCTGGGATTTGCCATTGGACCCTTTACCGTCGTGGAGGATCCAGAGTACTTTGGCCTTCCGGACCTAGACTTGGATGAAGACGAAATGGGAGGAGCAAACGAACCTGGAGAGGAACAAGCCAAACAACGACGGCGACAATTGGAATTGGAGCGAGAGCAGGAGCGCATCCAGATGGCAAGGATACGAGGGGAAGGAATTCGTCAAGCGTATTTCGCACCAATCTACGAACGAAAAGAAATACATCGAAATGCCAACACGTTGTTGCTGGAAGAAGCACAAGGTGGATCCGGAATGGTCGAGTTCCAGCTCTACCCCAAGACAACCCGTCAGAACAAGCTGTCCAAGGGGCTCGAAGATGCGGTCACGTTTGCTACTGCCGGTGTCCCGCATAGAGCACTATCCTTGATGAGAGATATTCTTGCCCTACCAGCTTACCGAACGGCAGCATACACACAGATTTGGATTCCCGGTGCTGTCAACGGAGGATACTCCTCGGGGGCATTGCATTCGTGTCCAGAGGTGCTTGGCGCCAACAGCTTTCAGGGTGGTGCCATCATGGATGCAGGTGAGTACAGGGAATTGCGTTCCACGCCCGCAACCACGGCATCATTTTTCAGCATGCGACTCACATATAGCTTTTTCCTGCATGTCCCAGGTTTGTTGCCCCCAGTGGGAAAACGAATACCTTACTTCCAGGGAGGAGGCCGAGTGGTACAAATGCTTCAAGCGCGCTGCGCAATCCGAGGCTGGATCATGTCGTCGTTGCCTTTGGGCGGACAAGATGATGTTGGAGGAGGTTACATCCATTCCCTGATCGAATCATTCATGATGAGTTTCTACGAACGAGGCCATGGGGCGTTTGGTGAAGGTATGTGTCTCGTATAGCTAGTTTTTTCGGACAGCTTCAAAGCTCTCAATGAGTGGCTCATCGTCAATGTCGTTGTGTAGGAGGGGCAAAGGGTTCTATGTTTTACACGAAGCGTTATGCAGCTGGAAGTGGCTTGAATAGTTCCAGCTTGGACTTCTTGCCCGTTCGCAATGTTGAAGAGTCACCTGATGTCGCAATTGGAGGTGTCATGGCTGCTGTACCCGTTGGTAAGAAAAACGCTTGCGGAGAGTTCTCGTGAAGCCGGGGAAGTTGCTAACGCTCTGGTTTGTTTCCCCGTATTCTTCACTCTTGAACCAAATAGAGGATCGCAACAATGATCAACTATGGCGATCAACAAGCAATGGGACTGAGTCTCACACTTCGTCCATGGACGAGTTTGCGGTCAGACAAGTCCTTTGCAAAGATGTGCTCGAGGCACTTGAGAGGGGGACTGATAAAGATAAGCACGTCCCTATGCCAAGCATGGGATGGCTTGGATCACATCTTTGCTTGTCGTTCTTGTCTAGCAATGCAACATCCAGCAGTGATCTCGGTTGCGGATCTCTGGAATTGGTTCATGCCACCGGCGGGCTTGTCTACAGGTCGCTAAAAACTGAGATGCTCCAACGTGTTGTCGAAGGAAGAGCTGGTGTAGCCAACTTTATACGATTGGTTCGGGCGGCTTTCATTGCATCGCATCTGGATGACGTGGGCGAGAAGGAGCTCAAGATGCCATCCACCAAAAAGGAAAAGAGAGCAGACCGCAACGCTGATTCCAACACTGCAAATGCCAAAGCTAAGGAGCCAGAACCCCCCATCGAACCACCAAAGCCTAGATTTGTTGTTTGCGTCCAGGAGCTGCTCAAGAAAAAGGGCTTGACCCACACGCTGTTTACAAGGGCACTCCAGAATCTTGCTGGGAGGATCAGAGAGGCTCTTTTGCTTGGACGCTTGGTGGACGTCGAACGAGAGGCTATCGATCCGAGAACCAAGAAGCCAATTGTTGACCCGGAAGGCTTTCCCAACTGCTACGTCCGGGGCTCCTCGCCTCTGTACCTCCGTGTTGGGGTTCACGTAGACATGATTCGCGATTCTGCTTCCTCCTCTGCGGCTGCAAACCCAGGGGGGATTCAACTGCAGACATATGCAGAGCCAGTTATACCTGAAGGGGGTGTTGCATATAGTGGCCCAATCACTCTTCGCGTCGTGGAGAACGAAGGCCAATTTCGTGAATTCGTGAAGGATTTGACGCCTGATGGGAGTAGACGCGATTGGGGGACCACGCATCTCCATGCACCGCCTGTGACAACTCCAAAGGCTCAGACAGCCGCAAGCGGGGTGATAGAGCCCACCGCCAAAGACAAGGCGGGTACAGGGAGTGCTGCCAAAGGAATCTTCTCTTCAAAAATCACAAAAATCACTCATGGTGGGGGCTACCAAGCAATTGAATTGATCCGTCTTACCAACCTGACTCCATTGTTGTGGGTGAGGGTGGATCCGATCGGGCTGTATGCAGGGCGTATTTCTGTTTTCCAGCCAGATGCATGTCTGGCTGAACAATTATTTCATGACGGGGACGCGGGGGCTCAAGTGGAAGCAATGCGCAACCTCGCTGAGCGACCGTTGCGTATCCAAGGCTCTGTGAAGGTTACGTCGGTGTATGACGTAAAGGTGTCTGAGCTCCCTGTGCGTGTCTTGGGCGATTGCTTGAGGGGTAGCCCCGCGCTGCACTCATCACTACCGCATACCCCGGCAGTTCGGGCTCAAGCCGCCCTTGCCATTGCCCAATGGCAGAACAACAAAGCGCCTCCGTCGAGTAGAGTTCTTGGGGTTGACAGCTGGTTGGGGATGAACCTACTCATTCAGTACTTCAAGGAGAGGTACTACGACAATGGGATCATCATGCCAGTGAAGTTCACCCGCATCGTGCTGAGGAAAGACGAAGTTGATGCAGCACACGAAGCCGCTGCGGTCGAAGGAGGCGGCCCGAATCCAAATCCCTCACAAGACTTATCTTACACATACTTGGACACTCACGGAGATGCTTTAGATAGAGCGACGGCTCTCGAGGAGGCAGAAGAAATTGGGGTCGAAGAAGACGAGGAATGCAGAGTCCGCGCGGCGGTGATCACTGCTATTGCGTCGATCCGGGCGAAGGACGGAATGACGCCAGCCCCTGTGCTTAAATTTCTGGAAACGATTTTGGAAGCAGAAGACTCCGAAATGTCAGGCAATGTGGTCTTCCCTGATGAAGATGTCATGTCAGAAACGAAGAGCCGCCAGACTGGCGACATGAAGAAGAACAAGAGCCATGGCTTTGACGTCAATGCGCTCTCCCCCTTTCCCTTCGTCTCCAGCTCGTTGGTGGCAGATTCCCTGCTCGCCTTGTGCTACATTAACGCCTTCCCAGCGCTGATCACAGACCCCGCTACAGGCAAGCCAGTTCAATCAAGTGCAAACCATCCGGTCTCGAAGTTGATGGAAATTGCACTACGATGGCTGCACTGGGAACTTTATAGGTCTGGTATCCGGGCTGAAGCGGAAGCCGAAACCATGACTGGAGTGGGAGCAAACGCAAACGGCACAGTTGCTGCGTGTGCTATCACTGCTCTGTCGTCATTAGCGATTCTTCGACAGAGCACCACCGATCCAGTCGCAGAACCCACTCAGGCAGATGTACAGGCGAAAGCAAAGACTTCGGAAGAAGAAGAAGAGGCATCTAGTAGAGAAAAGACACAGTGGGACAAACTCGACGAAGTGGCAAATGTCAAGTTCTACCAGGACATTTACTTTCGTAACCCTCCTGTTTCAGACTTGACAAAGGCTGCATGTGCACAAGCAATTGCCTGCATTCACTGTGCATCAGATCGATTCGAAAAGAAGGATGGGGTTCCCTCAGGCCTGCTCTCTGCCCTGGAGTTCTTGCTTGACCGCATCATAGATCCACTTGAGTCGACACACTTGAAGCACACTCTTTCTTTGCTGATGATGGATGCCTGCACTGGAAAGATTTGCTCAATGCAGCGTGTAGGTCTTATTGGTGGTCGAAATGAGCTTGTCACATCGGCCGCGAGGTTTTACGGTGGCCCACTTGGGGCTAGCCACGGCGGAGACAGTGGGAGCGCCTGCGTATACTCGGTCAGCCCAGCAACAAGCCCTGCGGCGAATGCGGTAAACGATGGTGCCCGAAGAGGGCTTCGGCTTTTGAGCAAAGCAGGGCATCCCAAGGAGGCTGCTGGCGAACCCATTGTTGTTCGGATAGCACGATTCGCCACCAAGCTTTGGAGGACAATCAACGGCGAAGCCGTGCTTCCCGAACCAAAGGGTGATTCTCCTCCTCCTCGACCCATCAGTCCGAACGGGGTTTGCGCCTACGACGGCCACTTGCGATGTTCACTGCTCTCTTTGTGGCAGTGGCTGTGGCCCAATCGATGCCTTGCTGTTCTTCAGGTACAGGCATGGAAGTCTCATGAAGGGACAAAGCGATATAAGGAGCTAGGAGCCCATCGTGTGATGAAAATCACAAAAGAGGAAGAAGAGGCGGCAAAATGGGAAGAAGCAGCATTGGAAGGTATCAACCGGCTCGTGAACGTTGAAATCGAACGTCAAAAGTGGAGGGGAGAAATGGCGGTCAAGGCCTATGAGTACAAAAAGAATAGTGCCAGTAGTGGTACGGTTGTGGATGCCAGCGCAGCCGAGCAGGGTTTGGGACAGCCACTTCCACCCATCCAACGAGACACCGCGTTCAAAAACGGAGGATGGATTTCTTCTGCCGCACAACAACGACGAGCACTTGCTTTGGATGGCGGTACTGCTGTTACAAAGTTGCGCCTAACGGTGAAAGGGTCAGAATAGCCACGCACGTTCTTCAGAGACTGCACGCTCGTCAAACTTGTTATCGCTAGTAGCTAGAATATACTAAGGCTATTTTGCTGTTGCCAATTGAGTCATTGTGTTCGTCCGTGCATTGTGGATGCCAGCCTGTGTCCCATAGCGGCACAGGTCAATGCAGGAGGGACGGATAGATTGTTTGGTAGTACAGAAGCGTCGCAAATTCGCAGGGATTGTACTCCTCGGACTTTCATGTCCGCATCCACCACCCACGTATTGTTACCTCTGCTACCGGTAGTATCAGCAGCATCAGACGGCGGCTTCATGGCACAAGAGCCGCACCAGTGGAAGAAAGGAAGGCAATGATCATGTGCATACTGTGAAAACCACGTGGGTACTGTTGTTTGGCTCCTAGTAGGTATCTCTGTCGTCCCCAACCAACTCTGAAGGAACCGAAAGATCCGGCCAGGATACACTTCCCATCCCTGGTGCCGATCCAACACAAAGTTGGATGCTACCCACCCCTTCCACAAGGCCTCAACGTCTGTGGATTGTGTGAGGTAACCTGGTTCAATGTGCACATCAAAGTCCTTTCGACACGGAGGGACGTTGTACAGGAGCAGTTCCCCTGTTTTTGGTTTCAAGCAAAGACTCCCCTTGGATGCTGGATTGACCAATGCCAAATTGATGGTTGTGAATCCATACATCATGATCCAATAGACTGGGGAATAGAGCACCAGCAGACGTAGAAGCTGTTCCAGAATATGCCACAGACGCTGGCTGAGCTCACCAGAAGCCAGCATGGAGAACCAGTACTTTTGAAAGACTCTTGTCATGTAGTGCAGTGCAATCTCCGGTTTTGTGGTGGATGTCAAGATGAGAAACTTGTTTGTCTCCACAATAGTCGATTGGATACTGTGAATCCCATTAATGGTGGAATTCCAAAATGGCGGAGGCCCTAGCATCACCCGAGGGAGAATGACATGATCTCGCAGATGATGGCTGCTCTTATTACTGATGGACCCCGTTCCAATTCCAGAAACCAGCAGCAAAGCGGGAGTTTCAATGGCTCCGGCGCACAGAATGACTTCCTTTCTTGCCGAAAGCCTGGTATAGCTTCCATCGGGTACTTTCATGACTTCGATACCGGATACTCTATTGCAGGTCGTTTCGGCATCAAACAGCAACCGCTGTGCTTCCGTGTTGTAATACCAGTGAAACGGAGTGGATTGTTTGGCATTTCCCTGCAATAATAATAATAGGGGTTCCAAAAGTCCCTGATAATAGTTCACTCGTTCCACTGAGTTTATCATCCGTGAATTGTCATTGTTCCCAATAGTCTGCCTTGCTAAGCACGGTGTTGTTGGTGTCCCTGGTGAGGAAAGATCTTGTACGGAGATTGGACGTCCTGTGGCGGCATCACACAAACAGCCATTTTTGGCCAAATGCTGCTGCAACTTTCGAACGGATACTGGCAAATCCGTACGCCAGGGTTCTGGCCAATCCTTCCAATCGGAGAGGGGAGGAGCCATGCAAAGGCCGGCATTGATATTGGAGCCACCGCCAACTCCTCGACCCACTGGAATACTCATTTGACGACCCGACACCATGGCGGACAAAATGGAAACGCTCGAAGAACAATCCTGATGAGCCGCTTCGAACCATCGGCTCAGGTCTCGTTGTTGGCTGTTGGAATAATAATCCTTGGGACCTCGTTCCACAATGGCGACCGAAAATGGAAAGCCTTGACCCTCCTTACTACATGTATTATTGTGGATGTACGGCTCCAGCAGACCCCGCAAAAATCCCATGGCTGATGGACCAGCCCCCACAATGATGTAGTCGTAAACGCTGCATTGCGACATTTAGTTATCTGTCACCAACACCAACACCATCAATGTAATATTGTGCAACGCAATTTTATTCAACAACATCTTGCATCCCTCGATCGGCCTCGAGGTCGATCAAAACAGCAACAAGGACTTTTTACCGCGACGGACTTGGAGATAATTAGATGCATGCTTGCCAATCTAAAGAGTTATTATCAAATTGAAAATCAACCTTCGAAAGAGTATCTTCTGTAAACATTATGTGCACGTCGGCAGCTTAGGTTTTGGTCACAACGAAGTGGTTGTTGGGTGCTTGGTGAAGGTGTGGGATGGTTTCTTGCAGAGCTTTCCACCAACTGCTTCTGTGCAGTGCAAATGCCTAATGGTAAGCAAGTTTATTCAATTCAATGGATGTTATGTTATGCAGTTGTCAACGTCAGGGAATCGATGTTGAATACAGTCGTATCCTGAGCAGATTCATATTCAGTGGTTGTGCCCCGAAGCTCCCGTGCCTCTTCCGAAGACATGATCACAATCCGGCAGGTGTCCGAAGACTGCCAACCAGCACTGTCGGTTGCAGTCACAACTACATCGTAGTATCTGGTAGGAACCACCTCTCCTGTCACACAAAACCTGGAGCTTTCCTGGTCGCACTTTGAGGGGGCAACATACAACTTGGGATTGGGTCCGCGAGTACTTGCGAGCATCGCCGTCGATTCTTGGGTCAGCTCGTTGCTTGCCACAGCAATTTCTACTCGGAGGGAAGCGTCACATGCATCGTTTGCCTCCAAGAAGAAGCCAGTATCAACCAATTCGACTCCTGGCTGCTGCTCCAGGAACAAGGTTTTCCCGTCATTGGAGGAACGGGCCATCTTTTGAGAATGAAAACCGCAGTTCACGACGGGGGCTTCCTGGTCCACCGATACTTTGAACCACTCTGTCTTTCCCAGTTGATCTTTACCATTGCAGTGCCTGAGACGTGCAGGGACAGCACTCGCCAACATGGAGCATCGGTCGGGATCTGAGCTCGGCGATACTTGCACTGCCAATTCCGGTGGGCCAGCATGATCATCCCTTGCTGTCAACGATTGTTCCAGATATCTGACGGCTTCGTCGGGACTTTTAAAGATACTTCCCTCTACGGTATAGTTGCCAACACCGTTGCGCCTGAATCCCATGTATGGCGGAACTTCTAGGGTAGGCACAACAGAGTCTTCCTCACAGTCGTCGCCTCTTGCAAGTCTGCGTTGTGACCGCTGCAATGATTGCTGGATGGATTCAACAATATCCTTCACGTCGTTCGCGGTAGTTGCAGCCGAAATCGCGTTTTCCGTTGCATTCTCCGCTGCTTGGAGGAAAGCCTCTGTCTGATTCTCGATGAGATCAAACAGCTTCTTTTGGTTACCGTGAATAACCATCACGTTCTGAAGAGTGGGAGCAAAGATTGAGAGTTGGTCCAATGACGGAGCTATAGGTAATACAAATAGCGAACAGACAACACTTACATTGTACATCTGTGCCATGTCGTAGTCGGAAATAGCATCCTCCTGAACGAAATTGTATTTCAAACTCAAGTGGGCCTGCCAACGAAAGAGCAAGAGACACGTCAGATTTCAAGAACACACAGGGAGTAGTGGTCAGCCAAATCGAAGCCTAAACAGCGTCACCTACCCGTTCCACTCTGCCCAGCGCAAACAGGATGGTGGCGACAACGGCATTTTGAATCGAAGCACAATCCTGTGAACCAGCCACGCCGTAAGCTCCACAGTCGAAGCTATCGGCGGCATTGAAGAAATCCTTTGTCGCCAAAACATTCAACTCAGCGCGATAGATCACTTCATTCATAGCTTCGTAGTATTCAGAAGTCTTTTCAGCTGTGGGAAACAAGAAGAAACAAGAGAACTAAGTTGAGAGACCCTATCGAGCAAACCCAGCTTGCAAACCATGGCACACTATCCTTACGCGGCGGTGGATCGTCCAGGTCATCAGGCTCTTCTTCGTCATCAAGTTCCGGCTTAAGAGACTTGGTTTGCGCCATGTAGTCCAGTCTTTGGAAGTCTTCGTTATCCATCAAACTCAAAATGGCCTCGCAGATGTCATCATCGCTTTCGGAACTTTCATCAAAGCCTGCGACAAAGTACAGTGCCAACTGCGTAAGAAATTGAAATGAACACAGGTATGACGATACAAGATCAAAGCTACTGATCTCTCAACCTGACATACCAAAGTAACTCCGAGCCGCTCCGCAGTCATCCGGTGAGTCGTCGTCTTCAATTTCGGGTGCGTCCTCCAAGTAGCGTTTGTACGCAGTCATATCGAACTCTTCCGCAAAGCTTATCGCGTCCTCGATACACTCCTTCAATACGCCGCATCCTTTTGGCTTCTTGCAATAGGTTCCTACATGTCGAGATTACACGAAGTGAGACAACAACCAACTGACAATGACGCCTGGATCTATCTCGCGACAATCGATTCATACCTGAGAACCTGCTGCATGTTTGCTCACTAAAGCCAGCCAGTGGTGGTGCGGGGTTCGTGCAGGCATCTTCCCCTTCTGAACAATCAAACGTGGCCCCCCACTCGTCTTTGTTCTGCAGAGGCAGGTCAAGGCAGCAGAATCCTTCCAGTTCCGTGACAGTGCAAACAGATCCGGCAGGTACCTTATCTCCCACGAGAAGTTCAGCAACGTCGTCTTTGTGGTCGAAGTTCCAATAAATGCTCGTGATTTCTTTGTCTCCCTGTTCGGGTTCTTCGCGGAACCTCGCATCGCACTGGAATTCATCATCCAGGTAGAGGGAGCAATTCGCTAATAAGCCCTGTTCTGGTTCCTCACACGCAATCTTCTGATCTACTTCATGTCTCGAGGCTACAAAGGTGTCTGTTTGGCCGCTGAGGTATGGTCTATTGGCCTCAATCATGAAATCGCGCAAGTCCTTGTGGGGATCTTCAATGCATGGAAATCGTTGGTCAAAGACGGCTATGATGTGATGGACAAGAGAATTTGATAAGATCCCATGACGATTGAAGCAACCTGAGAAAGCCCATCATCAGCACTTTCAGTTTGACTTACGGTAGGTCCCAAATTCATAATAGTGGTGTATATTCGTCAATTGCCCGTGTCGATCGAACGCATGGGGTTTGAATCCAATGGGAAGTCTCGGATAGTTGGTTTCATGGTCAAAAAAGATGGAATGTTCCTCAAAGGCCGCATCCCCCATGAGTCTTTCGGTGCAGACGATAAAGTCTTCAAACACCTGACCAGCCGCGTCTTCTCCAAAGGATTCCTGAATGGATTCAAAGGAAACGTACTTGGATGTCTTTTTGGCGGCGCAGACTATTGCATGTCACAACACAACACAGCACAACACAACACAGACCAAAGTGTGAGCAACTTTCTGACTGTGCTTCAACCAACTACGTCACTGCCACAAACAACACTTCCTTACCGTCTTTCCACGTTGCCGGTTCAAATTCCATGTATCCGTCGTGTTCCTGGTTGCGATTGAATAGACGCAGCATTCCATTGCACTTTTGCGGCAAGTACTCTGTGTCCTCCAATTCATCTTTGAACTGACCGAGAGCCTCGAGAATGTCCTCTGCCTTGTCAAGGATCCGTTCTGGATCCATGCCATTGCGACCTTGATCAATCGTTCCATCATCCGTAATGTCTGGAAAAAGGAAATGCAGAAGGGGGTGAGTATATTCCATTCCATGTCCAAACACAATTGCTAGCTACCAATAGCCAGAGCACCAACACTGCAAACGATCAAGTCCAGCAAGCAATCGTACCATCCCATACAAAATAGATGAGAAAGTCGTAGAGGGTATAGTCTCTGACACATTCCACAAACTCGACACACTGCTCCACCATGGCTTCCGAAGGCTCTGCCGAGATTTCTTCTGCCTGTGAGTTTCTACCCCTACTCAACTGGGCTCTCCAAGACGACCCGTGTGGATTGGCTTGCTGGGGCGTCTGGGGTGTGATCTGATGCGGTTGCAAGCTATTGGCATGGGGGATATTGGAACCGTGATTGAGTTGTAGAGTTTGAGCACCAGTCTGTTGTTGCTGAGTTTGCTGCTGCTGCTGCTGTGGTTGAGCCTGAGTATTAGTTTGCTGCTGCTGAGTATTAGTTTGAGTAGATTGCTGCTGTGTTTGAACGCTGCTCCGACTGGGAATGTTGGCACTCGGAATGTTGAGACCAAACTGGCGTAACAACTTTCTTCTCTTGTTGTTCCGTTTATTGTTGGTACCGGTAGTTGAATCTCCCCCCAGAAGACGGTTCAACTTGGTATCCACTGCCGAAGAGTAATGTGACCCTCCAAATACTCTGTGCAGATCCCAATGGTGGGCCAACTTGGGATTGTTTTGCAAGTGCTGTTTGGCGTAGTGTTGTTTGTCCTTGCTGGGTGGTGGTGTTGCGTCAACAAGGCAATTCGTATACATATCTGATGCTTTAGTTTTGTGTTTCATGAATTGAGCCGTAATGTCTCTGGTTTGGTTGACTGTCACCATGGTCTGGCGGACCAGTTCTTGGAAATAGACAGGAATTTCCTCTTGCTGTTGTTGCTGTAATAGTTCATATAGAGTGGACAGAGTATCCACCGACTCGGTCAGCTGTCCCAGGTTGTCTTGCAGTGAGCTCTTGGTCTCCAACTTATTATTGGTCGTCATTTTTGTCTTTTCTTGCAGGAGACTTTCCAGCTTGGCCAAGGAGAAAGCCGTATTTGAAATAGTAGCCATTGGTGGGTTGTCATTCGGCTGTCCCAACACTACAACTGCACTGCCCATCAAGACGATCCACACAGACAACGCCCTCATGGTGAACCAATATCCAATTCAAAGAAGATTTCAGGTGTTCTTGCTCTTGTTCCCACTATTAGAACTTGCTGAGATTGGTTGAGCAATTTCGTCAGTGTCTACCGTACTAGTACGGGCAAGTATAGTCTAAGATCTATCTACTAAGCGATCCTCATGGTCCGTAACCATCCAGAGGTTGCTGGACACAGTTTCTCGGTCGATGGGTATCCATGCATCCAACATCCAACATTCCAAGATTTCTTGTTGGGCACAAACACCTGCACGGAGAACGTACTAGGACACTTCCCTTAACGAAAGCATTAAAATTTGGTTTCTTCTTCCTTCCATGATTTAGGCCCAACAGAGTATCCAGGAATGAGATAATTAAGGGCAAAGGATCAAGGTCATTGGTACCATCCAGAACAACATCAAGGTACAGTAACCATTGACGATGACACGGGTGCTGGATCTTGCTACGCTGTTAGCTTGCATTTTGATTCGGAAACTCGACTCGTCAGGACGTCAGGACCATCCAAACTCACCAATATATCCATTGACTTGGCCCTTTGTTACCATCCATCATCAGCCCACAGGCCACTGTACAGGTGATATCGGATCCAAGGAAGGACGCGCGGAGATTGCCACCCAGTAGCTATAGTCTAGTCCATCTTGAGACACCTTTCTATAGATCTACTCGAAGAGCAAGCATTCCGATCCTTTAACCGATAAAACACTCGGCGCACGGGAATCTAATCTTATATTTGAAAACGATGACAATGAGAAACTCAATGTCCTTGCTTCTGTTGGTTTGCATGGGAGCATTCCTAGTACTTGCCACGGCGGATCCGGATGTCACTATGAGCCAGGAAAATGCTGCTGCTACCAAGGCTGTGCCCCTATCCAACCAACACATCCATACAAACAAGCGACGCCACAATCGTCGTCGACGAAGAAAGGTAAGAAGAAAGAGTGTCCTTTGATACCCCTGGTTGATTATTATTGTTAAACCATGTACGTGTATCCATTATTATCGTAGCTCGATGAGGATGAACCAGATCTCTCCGCCATTGACACGGATGGAGCCGAGGTTTCCCACTCGGACGGCAGCATGTGGGTGGGAGAAGTTGAAAATGTACTCGACGGAGATCTGGAAACGACGCTGAGTTCCGCCATGCAAGGAGACTGCATCAACCCCACCGTGGTCCCGACCGTCACAATCGACTTGGGGCTGGGAAATGATGCCTTTTTGGAAGAAATTATCGTCTACCACAAACAAGATGGTAGCAAATACTGCAACCAACAAGTCAGTGTTTCGGTCGACGGAGACAACTGGGAGCAAGTGTACAGTACACGCAGTGGTTTTGGTCCCGAGGAAGAAGGTGACGGTGTCAGTGCAAAGTTCCTTCGGACGCGGGTGAGATATGTCCAAGTGCAGAGTGGTGCCAGTGATAAAGACGAGAAGGCGTACTTTGGAGAAATTGTCATGAAGGGGCTTGATCGAAGGGTGCGTACTGTAACTCCATTATGTCGTGAAAGGAGATGAGTTGCAAGATGAATCTCAGCGGCTAATTTGCGTAATCTCCTCTACAGACTCGCCCACGTGTGTCGGTCAGCGAGAATGGAAAGTACGTCTACGCTACTGTCAACAATGAGGTAAGCACAAAGACAAAGTGAGAGAGCGTTTTGCAGGAAATACACATTGATGTCTTTCTCACTTGTTCATACAACAACCCCACTGTTTTTGTTGGTCTTGTTTGGCTCTTGATTTTTAAGGTTTGGAAGATGAGTGGCATCACTGCAGATGGTTCCTGGGAAAAAGTAGAAGGAGACAAGGAACTGCAACATGCCGAAGTTACCAACGACAATACTCTGGCTGCTGTCGTCAAGAGTGGTTCCATATTTGTTGGCAAGACAGAGGATTGGGGCCCATCACGAGGAAAGCTCAAGACGGTAGATATGGCGGGTGATGGATCCATGGTGATTGGTTCTCAGGAAAATACTGACATTTATTGGAGCAAACTCGAGGACGGCCAAATCAAGTGGAAGAAATTGAATGCGCAAGCTCAAGATACCATGGCCAATGCCGATGGATCTCTCTTTATGCTCGTAACTCCCAACGAGCCACACATACATGCGTTGCAGACCCGGAAATTGGAGGATGACCTGAATGCAGAGCCTACTAAACTGGAACTGCCAGAGGATATCAAAGTTCTCCAAGCCAGCTTTGGCGGAAGGCACGAGGTATGGTTGGTCGATACCGAGTATGAGCTATGGCATGCGTACCTTGTAGACCACGAGTCCGATGGACCTCGTTTCAAACACGACAGCTTCAAAAAGATGGAGATTCGAGTATTGAGTGCCTCTGCCACCGGAAATGGCGCCGTGTTTGGCGCTGCCTTGGATGGCACGGGCGTCATTTACTGTCGACATCGGGATTTTGAGCGCTTTGCGCAGCAATGCGAGTATCTACGTGGGCCTTGGGGTCGCACCCCCGACAGGTCGTATTCACCACGACAATCACAACCAACTCGCAGTCAAGGGGCGAAACTAACTTTGAACTCATTGGTCCCCTAGCCAGCTGGGCTTCTGATCCACGAACAGGGATACAGATGCATGTATGAATGTGTGACTTTGAACAACCAGCACAGACTCAATAATAGTCCATTTATTAGAAGACTGTCATTCTTTCTCTGCTTCACGCACATGCAACCTAGCTTGTTCATCTCGCAGTTTGATCAACCTAGTTTGTTTATCTCGCAGTTTGATCACCAAACATCTGGTCCAGGAGAGTGCAATTATTACCTGGCCTTGAAAACAATTTTCAAGCCGGGTTTAGCTTTCATGGTGACAATGTTGGTGAATGTGTGCTCCACATCGCGCTGGGATGGAGCAATCTCCACCCTGAGAGCACGCACCATTTGGGCCACAATCATCTTGGCCTCATAGGTGGCAAACTTGTACCCAATGCAGTTGTGGCCACCGGCACCGAATGGCAAAAATGTGAAGTTTCTTGAATCCATGCCACCACCGCCTGCATCACCACCTTCCAACCATCGTTCGGGCTTGAAGATTTCTGGTTCCGGCCAATACTTGGGGTTCCGGTGGAGGAGGTGCACAGGAATCACCAAATTGGTGTCCTTGGGAATTTTGTAGCCTGCAATTGTTTCTTCGTAGCAGTTGCGGCGGACCACCATTCCCACAGGTGGGTACATGCGCAGCACCTCATTCAGGAATGCTGACAAGTACTCCATGTTTTCTGATTCTTCCAAGGTTACATTAGAGTCATTATTGTTGGGGTCCTTGACGTTCTTTATGACATCTTGAAAGATTTTATCTTGTACATCAGGATGTTTGGCCATGGCGTAGAGTGCCCAGTAACACCATGTTGATGTGGTCTCATGCCCAGCCAATAGAAAAGTCTTCAACTCATCTTTCAATTCTTGGTCTGAGAGAGTATTTTTGCTGTTGGAAGTTGCCTCTGCATCTCTTGCCTTCAACAGCAGTCGGAGAAGCGACTTTGATGACGATGTGTTGGGCAATGATGAAGACGATACACCATCTTCTGTCTCTTGTTGTTGGTTCATGTTCTTGGCATTCTGGATGATCCCCTCAACTGTAGAACTAATGGCGGATTTGAGGTTGACAGTCTTTGGATTAATGTATGGATCCAGAGAAGCAGTGCCAGTCATGAAAAGGAACAAACGCAAGGGACTTGGCTGGAAAAATGCCATGAATGATGTGATGAGAGGATCAGTCAACTCAGGCGACTGAAGACTCGTAGCGTCATTCTTGTCCCCAGCTTGCTTGGCTTCTTGGACTGCCGTGGACCAAGCTTCTACATCCTTGAGGCCACTGGTATCATAGGAGAATCCTGCATCTCCAATGATATCCAAAGTCAGGGCAGAAAGATGAGATGCCAGGTCAATTTCTTGTCCCTGACCAGCATCCAACCAGCAGCGAATGAATGTTTGAACCTTGGGTGGAACGCTGATGTTCAATGTCTCCTTGAGAAATGATACAGAAAATGCCGGTTGGATGATTCGGCGATGCCTGGCCCATTCCTCTCCCTCCAAAGTGACCAGGCCATAGCCTATGACATTGGGAAAGAGGGTGAATGGTTTCTTGAATCTACAATCATTCTTGGATGCTGGTGCAGTCAGTATTTCCTTTAAAACAGATGGAGGCATGGATTAATAGGAAAACAATTATTAAAAAAACCCAGCATATGGGCCGAGCTTACCTTCATGATTTCCTTGTCCAAAATCAGCAAGGAGTTCAGGCCCATGATTTGAGAGTAGCGGACAATGCGGGCTTCAGGGCCCACTTCTTCCGACCACTGCTTGTGTGGGACCATGAAAGGTTCTCGCCTGATAGCCGGGGTTTGTCCCAACCAGAAGCCACACTTGGGACCTGGAATATGCTGTATGGAGCGCCATTTCATAAAGCGAGGGATCAATCGAAGTAGCCTAAACAAGACAAAGCATAGTGGAAGAGCTCCCAACCAGAACCAAACCATGGTGATGATATGTTGTTGTCAAATAATGAATACGAAGATCAAAATAGTGTAGCTGCACTATTATCGCTGCTTGTGGCTGGACTGTTTCCTTGTACTACGGTATTGCGACTTCTGTCTTTCTAAATATGGCGTCAAAGCTTTCTTGTTGTCCTTCTGTTTCTTGCTCTGTGGTCCGTGTAATTCTTTCTTTGTGGGCAAAGCGGAAGATGCTCTGGCTTCAAAAGATTGAAGATCCACGACTTGGATTTCTGCAGCTCCGGAAAATGCAGGATTTAGACCAGTCCTCACTGATAAGAACCTACTATTGGAAGGAGATGAGGAAGACTAGCTAGCACCAGCAATAGCCAACCCCAAAATCAAGCGTACAAGATTCCTTGATCTACCCATGAAGTACAACAACACACCTGATCAAACCCCGCGAAACGACAAACCTACTGCCTGGAATAGAGTGCTTCAAATGCCACGACAGTACCGGTACCGGAAACTGGACCCATGCATCCAAGGACCAGTAGCCTGGTACCGCATAGTACGCCATGCCTTTGTTCTCAATAGCATATGCCATACTACAGGTAAAGTACCAAGACGAGACGAAACAAGTAATACTTCTACTAGGCGTAACTGGAGGGTAATCTTTGCGGCCGGTTGATTCTCAAGATGTCAGTTTTGATTCTGTGTCTTCCTCCTCTTGCTAGCTAGCTATGTAGCTCTAGCTAGCTAGCAGTCTTCATCTTCACTTGCATCATCATAATCATTTGCACTGCTAAAGCTTAATAAAGTGGGAATTGAAGAAAGGGGAGGGGGTCTGTAGTCTGTAGACCAGTCGACTGTAAAGTGTTTCAATGCCATGACAGTGACACATTTATTAGCTTAAAAATCTTTTAAAACTAAGGTTAGGTGGGATTTGCACGTCGGTTGATTGTCAATCCCTCACAAAGTGACGTCAGCTTCGATTTCGTTGTGAGTCATCACGAGGATCGAGAGGCCTGCTCGTACATGTACATGTATTGCTTCATGCTAATCATTGTTTGGGATGTAGCTTCTGTAAGTCGACCATGACTTGCGCTGCTTTCCTTACCACTACGGCTTCTGCTCTGCGGCAAACGGCCCATCAGTCAACCATCACTGGTCTAAAGGTGTTTCCGGTAGATTCATCTTCGCACGTGGAAGCATCGGCTGCCACAACAAGTCTTGTCAACAGCTTGGCAACCGCTGCTGCCACATCATCGACAACAAAGGAATTTGAACCCATACTGCCAGATACTTCTGCCTTGCTTGGGATCGGTGCTGTTGTACTTGCCTCAGCGGCCGCAACTTGGGTTTGGGCCAATCAAGTGGTACCGACTAGTCGCACAAAGTTGGCTTTGTCGAAGCGACAAGGAGACGTCAAGGAATACCTGGAAGAATTAGAAGATGCATCTGGCGAACGACAATTCGAAGAGTGGCTCTTTACGGATTGGTTAGAACAGCGAAATAATGCTACCGGTTCTCAGAAGAAGGAACCAGCTTTGCCTATCCTGAAAAAAGCAAAATGGAACTCTGGTGATAACCCAGTATTGGCTGCAACCGCATTGATTCTTTTGGGGATCACGCTTACAGCCTTTACGGAACGAGTGTCCTCCATGCTCTCCTAAAACGCCGTACCGGTACGGTACAGATATGGCAAACAGGACAATACAACAAAACAACTTATTCTTCAGTTTGTACCTAGCTAGCGGACGGTACCGGTAGCTAGAGTTGGTGAAATCACAATTTATTGACTAGTTTATGCACAAACTGAAATTCAATGATAGGTACCTAGACGTCAACCGTCACTAGGAAGGTTTCCTCATACTCTACTGAAGCCGAAGCTCGCAAGTTGCGGTGACCGGCTCCCTTTGGCGTCACTTTCATGGCCATGGATAATGCAAGACTAGCCGGGACGTCGTTCGAATCGTTGAAAGCGTACTCAAGTCGAGATCGCAGGGCACAGGTGGTTTCAGAGCAGGCCTTGGAGGAATCTTCGCTGAATGACAAGGCTTCAATAGCTGTGCCGTTCTCAGCCGTGGCATACTCAAGCTTGAGACTCAGCATATCAAGATCGCGAAACACGCCACCGCCATCGACAAAGATGCAGAAATCAGTCTCGTCAAGGGACGAAGTCGCCGAGAAAGATTTTTCAATGCAGAAACCATCTTCGTCGCAGAAGCAAGCGTGAACCTTTACCCCACCTGAAGTGCCTGAGCTTGGTGCGTGGTTTGGTTCATCCCTCGGCTGATCGTAGGGGCTGTGCGATGGAACATGAGACTGAATCCAGCTAGACTTGGCAGTTGGAGCCAATGAAGGCATCCAGTTGGAAGGCTCACTTGTAGCACTAGCCAATGGATACAAGTTAGTAGGCTCATGCGTTGCGTGGGGGGAAGGGACGGGACCGTTGGCAATAGTTGGGTTTGAAGGAGCCAAACTAGGCCCCTCTGTTGGATCCACTGAAGGAGCGAAACTGGGAACCTCACTTGGAAGGACGCTCGGGGAAGAGCTGGGGACATGGCTTGGGCTGTTGCTGCTGGGAACTTCGCTTGGGATTGCGCTGGGAACACCACTTGGATTTGAGCTCTCCAGTCCAATCTGAAGGGGCTCTTCGAAAAAAGGCAACCCATCGTCTTGCCCAATCCAGACGCACCCTGCTTGCAACTCGTAGCTGAACAGACGGTTGCATTCCGCTCGATTGGGTACGTGAATTTGCTCTTGGCATCGTTGTCGCGCTAGGAATGGTTGTTCCGCAGGTACACCACAATACGGAGTCTGGTCCAGGAAGACGCGAACTCTTCCAACTGAGTTTCCTTCGGCATCGCGATGTTCAACATCACCGGAAGCCACAAGGGAGCCTCTCCCATTCATGGCGATATCGAATCCAAAGCTTGCCTCGGCGTGACCACCCGAAACCTGTCCGACCATTGACAGTTCTCCTCCTGCCAAGTCGTAGACCCGAAAATATCCCGAGTTGTGGATTGATGCAGCCGCAACGCGAGAGCCGTCATTTGCGATGGCGACAGCGCGGCCAAAGCTCTCCCCTTCTGCCGATCCTAGCATAACCTCATCAAGCAAGTGCCAGTCTCGTGGTAAGTGGAACCCACCGCGCATCCACCGTTTGACCTCCTGGGATATGAACCAGTGAATAGATTAGATGGATTCGATTCTCAAAATAGTCACCCTGTTAGCGACAACGAACGTACCACACGACCTTTGCTTCGGTTGGCCCCAGGAGCCCCAATCGCAACAGTTGGATCATTATTGGAACTCATGGCAAAACTATATCCATGTAGGTCGCCGTCCGCTAGACCCTCGAACCGCGAGTGTTCGGACCATTCCCCGAACAGATCTACGCTGAATAGCTGGACGAGGCCAGTGCTATTGCTGTAGAATGGCGAGGCAACACCCAAAAGGAACAGTGGCTCGTCTCTTGGGTCAAAGGGCAGTGTTTCTGCTGGAACAAACTCCAAAGCCCAACCAAAGCGAGTTCCTCGGAAGCCGTCGTCACCATGAATCACGACAAAGAGCTGCCAGTCTTGGGCACTCTCGTCGTACCGAAAGACATCGACTCGACCCGCCTCGTGTTCACAACTCACAACCAGCCAGGTAGTATCGGGAAAGGACTGCGAATTCAAGTCAGTATAGCCCAAATGAACGGCCTTGTGAGTCAACAAGCGGTCTCCATTGCAAGTGTTGACAGGGCTTCCCATCATGATTGTTTGCTTGGTTTCGTCCTTGTAGCGGTACACCTCCACATCGCTATGACGAGAATCATAGCGGACGACTGCAAGAGTCTGTCCATCATGGCTCAATGCGATACTGTCACCGATTGGCTCGTCCACTTCGCCCTGGAGTTGTTGGAGAAGCTTCCAACGGTACGACTTTTCACCGCTGGTATGAGATCGGCTGTTCCCAAAGTTGTACATTGTCTCCTCTCCCAGTTCATAGAGAAAGACGGAGCCTCCTTCCTTGCTGGGAGCACCAACCAGCAAGCGACGCCCATCGTCGGACATCTTGATTGAATGAGAAAAGCGCAAGGACGACGTCGCGCGATCGCGACCATCATGAGGAAGGCGTCCAACAAGGGTTTGTCCAATGGGACGCAGAGGATAGGCAGCTGCCACCGAAACGAGGAGCAGGATCAAGGTGAAAGAGAGAAGCGATGAAATCGTCATGGTTTGCTCTTAGTTGTATCGTTCTTATAAAAGAAGGGCGACAGAGCAACAAGCATTCACCAAGCGGTTGTTTTGTGGAGGGTTGATGTTGCGTAGAGCCGGAGTCGAGTCCGTTTCTTGGTGCGATTTGGGTTTCTTGAAAGTGGGGTCAAGGCTGTAATAACTGTTCGCAATCCCAAATGGGACTGACCTGCCTTCCGGCCGTGCCTCAACGGAACTCGTCATGGAGGTTTCTTCGTCATTGCTTCTCGCTGTCAACCTCTTTTTATGTACAGTCGTACTGGTGCCTGGTAGGTGCTGTGTACTGCATCAGGAGTCCAGACAATACCCAAGGTAGCTTTCATCAAGCTGCGCTATCTCTTTGATTGTTGGGCTACTTGTTGTGGTGGAGGATTCACGGTGAGAAGAGTATGAAGATACCAAACGCTAGCTAGAAAAGCCCCAGCATGCAACCACTATTCCTGGAAGATACCGGTACTGATACCAATGCCGAACACCCTGCCACTCCCTATCGCCTATCGGATGTCGACAACTTGCATGAAGCGATCCGCTCGGATGCCGCTCGATGGAAGACTCGATTTACGGCCTACTTTTGGTCTCCTGACGGAAAGGAGCTGCTCTCCTGTGTCAGTTTTGGTTTGATTTTCTTCATTATTGGCTATGTTTTCCCCACAACCAATCAGCGCCCACTGCCCTACCAATACTTGGAAGGAACCGGTGACTATGTTCGAAATTTGGTGTACAATGAAGCACTCCAGGACGAGACGGTGCCGGACTGGCAGCTTGCAGTTCTCTGTGTCATTCTTTGTCCAATGCTACAACTCATCTTTGCCCTGGTTCATGGTAATGTGGGTGATATCCACAAGACTCTCTGTGTCTATTGTATTGTGATAACCATCACAGGGACTGGGACGTCGATCTTGAAAGATTTTGTTGGATATCTCCGACCGATATTCTACAACCTGTGCCAACCGAGTGACAATTATGAATATTGCACACAGGGCGATGATGACGATGATCTTCGCATGTCCTTTCCATCCGGACATGCCAGCTGGTCCTTTGCCACTCTAACATTGCTGTATTTGTATTTGGAACGATGCCTTGGTTTGAGTGGTGCATCGCAATTCACAACGACTCTCGCAACAAGTTCTAACCAAGAGATCGTTGTACTGCAATACCCCAAGAATGCATTTCGGTATCGATGCCACTCGCTACTCTGCTTGATTCCACTGGGATTGGCCACATTTGTTGCTGTGAGCCGTGTACACGACAACGAACATTTTCCAGCCGACATACTCGCAGGGAGTCTCTTGGGTGCTACCATTGCCCGTCATTGTCATCAAGTCTGGTGCGTGCACAAAATACTCTTCTATTTGTAGTAGGCTGTCTCTTGAGCTGTGTTTTTGTCTTCCTTCTGGATACTGACCCTTCCTTCTTTTCATAGGTTTCCAGACGCCAGACTTAACTGCAGAAAGTAGGTAACACGGCCTCCTTTCTGAGTGCGTACAGTATTCCATAAGTGTTCTATTAGTGAAAAAATTAATTCTACTCTTTGCCATTGGAGGACAGCATCCGCATAGTCAAATCACACATTAAAGGACTCTCCACATCCACATTCTCCTTTAGAATTTGGATTGTTGAATGTGAATTCGCTGGTCAATTCGTTGGTTTCATAATCCATCGTTGTCCCAACCACACTGAAGAGAGCCATGGGTTCGATGAAAACATTAATGCCGTGGCTGGTCATGGGAGTGCTGGCATCTTTGGGTTCTTCAAAGGCATAGTTTAGTGTGTACGACAAGCCATTGCATCCGCCTGAATAGAGATTGCACGAATATAGCGTTGGTTGTTGTGTATAGTCGGTCATCAATCCGTTTGGCATGGTAGTAGAGGTATTAGAGGAATCAATCGTTAGCTACTTCAGAGATCCGACAAGCAACAGAACAAAAATAAGATTACTTACGTCGTTTCACCCCAAGAATGATCCCAATAGATCCTTCGGCACTTTCTCCACTAAGCAACTCCTTGATACGGTCTGCTGCTCGTTCCGTCTACATAATGACGGATAGAAACAACGAAAGAGGTTACAAGAAATGGCAAGTGAGACTCGACCTGCAAGCGGCCACAGTACAACCCTCATTCTTATTTCCTTTTGCGTTCGTACCACAATGATGGGATCCTTTGCTTGAAGAGTTCTTCGTCGCTTGGACTTGGCAGGTTTCTTCTTGACGGGTTCATCCTCGTGCATAGCGGCAGCAGCAGTCGAGAAGCCACGAGTGCTTGTCGGTGCCTGACGCTGCAAAAGGAGTTGAGGGCCTATTCTTCTACTTAGAATTGTGGCCGGAGATGCGGTCTGGAGGGCCCTTCGGCTCACAACGCTTGCGACTTTGGAAATTGTGGATGTCATCTCCTTGCTGCGTTTATCGAATTCGATGGATCAAAGGTGAAATAGATTCGGAGTTGAGATACCCCTCAGCAACTAGCTAGCAACTTTTATGATTCTCCTTTTTTCTTGATTCTTGATAGTGCCACACTGACCGATAGCTGGTCTGACACTCAATGTGATCTCAATCAGCCTTTGTTTAATCAGAAGCTTATTAACAACTTTTATCAATGTTGTCACTCCTTTGGTGCTGCCTTTGCCTTTGAGGTTGCTCTTCTGTTTTGGGTTGTGGGAATGCTCTCGGTTCTGAACTTTCCTCAGTCGTAACGCTGACGTGAGGCTTCCTTTGGGTTAGGGCTAACGATCAGAAAAGAATTGGAAGAATCTCTCGCCTGAAACCAGTGTAAAAGAATGATTTCCTTGCTTTGTAAAGCGCTGCCTTTCTACTAAATTTGTCGAGTTGTCGAAATCGAATCTTTGCCCTATTGCCTGGAACCAATCATTGCTTGCTACACGTACTTCTCTTGGCTGTCAATGATATACCAACTACAACTTCTTGGAGGCCAGATTGTACCGTTGTGGAGTCATCATACAGAGACTGGCAGCGTTTGATTGATCGTTTTCTGGTTGCATTGATATCTTCTTTTGAAGTCTCATTTCCTGGCATTCTCGATTGACGGTTCGCTTTTCCTCCTCCCTGTAATAATAAAAGTGAATCATCATCATCATGTTACGTCAAGCCATGGATGCCGCTGAAGGTCAGTTTCAGCAGCAACAGCAACATCAATATCATCAACAACAGCAAGATGAAACGGCTAGACTGCTATCATCTTCCATTCCACCTCCATCCGAGGCAACCACTGGGGGGTTTGGGACTGCCCATGCCCCAGTTTATGACGAAGAAGATGAGAGCATGTTGGAAGACGAGTCAGAAGACGACTGGAGTGAACAGCAGAGATCACGTCAACAACCACCAGGAATGACGCGCAAGGCATGGGATAGCATACGCAACGCATTTCTCCTGGTGGCCAATGTGGAGAATCTGTGGGATTCGCCCGTACCGAATCAACCATCAGGAGGAGATGGGTACAGATCCAATATGATGTATACCAATGGGACTTCTTCTTCGGCAGCGAGCGTAGCTAGACTGAGAAGACGGTCGTATCTGATTGTCTTGTTCTGGTTCTTTGTCCTGGCAGGAGCTTATGCCATGGAACGAAGCACCTTTAAGCTTCTCGTGGATCGAGCAGGGCCCTTTCGACTCTTTTCCGTGGAAATGGTCACCCTCACGCATGCTCTCATGTTGGGAGCTTGGATGGTGGTGTCCAGTATTTATCAAAGTAGACAAGAACAGGATGAAGGCAGCCGGATATCCTTGGGCATACCCCTCGTGGATGTGGGATGTAAGTCCTAGTACCAAGCGTGCACGGTTTGTTTACGCAAACAGGAGTCTCGCCATCTCACGATTGTGTTTTTGTCATTGTCTTTATGTGCGCCTTCCTTCTTCTATCATCAGACATGGCTCTCCTGGACACATTCCACCTTTTACTGGTCTTTTTGACAGGTCGATATGTGTGCCCTACGTTGACGGTGATTCTGGTACAATTCACTCTCCCTCTGTCAGCCTTTCTGACTCAATTTGTGCATTCGGATGGACGCTGTGCACAGTGCTTTTGTCGCAATTCCGATAGTGATGACAACAGTAGCGATGGTGACGACAATCGTGATGAAGAAGGCAATGCCCAACAGGAACGGGGCTTTGGTGGATCTTCTTACCAACAACAACAGGCCGGCGACAGCAACGGGGGTGACAATCAATCGACAACGAACTCGGAGGGAATGCCGCTGCCTGGATGGGGCGGCCTCTCAGCAGAACATCTTTGGGGGTCGCTTATTCTGTCACTGGCAGTCTTGTTGGCATCGCTACCCTCATTTTACTCCATCATTAATCCATCCTTCTTTGCCTACGCCGACCAAATACCCATTCAAACGGCATACAATACACTCATCTATGTCTCGAGTTGCTTTCCTGCCGCTGCATCTCAGCTGTACAAAGAACACGTCTTTTTGCAAAGCAAGCAACCGGTAAATGCCAGCTATCTGAACTTTTTGCTGTCCCTCTTTCAGTTCATTCTGGCATCCATCATGACACCGCTGGTATTTGGACTGCAGGGCTTGGGTGCGGGCGAGGATTGGACAAGCCTGTATCCATCGTCTCATTTCAGCAACAACTTTCTATCCGGTCTCAAGTGTTTCCTGGGACTATTGCCAGAGGACGCAGCCCAGCAGAACTTTCCCGAGCCAGCCAATTGCGACCTTTCGATGGGATTGGTAATTGTGCACGCCTTTTCCATTGTGGCCGTGGGATGTGCTGTGGATAAAATTGTCAATGCGGGCGCCACCAAAGCCATGTACCGAGGGATCAGCGCAGGGATCATCGTCGCTGTGTTGCTCATGTACGAATATGACATGCACACTACGAGATTCAACTACGGCCCGGCCATTGATGCCCTTAATCTCGTATGTCTCATTCTGCTGATTGTGGGGGCGGAGGTCTACCACCGAGTCAGTCTGACAGACAGCGTGTTCGAAACGGTGTATCCAACCGTGGAAGGCCTTTACGAAGATGAAGAGTAAAGTTCTCGCTATTCGCCCGCTTGGCTACTGTCCATCTTGGACGGTAGTCCGATATTGAATTTGTCCTGCTAGCTAGGCTTTGTATATTACGGTGTAGGGTAGAAAGAGAAGACGACTTGCTTCTGGGTCGGCTGGTGAAGCCCTCGTCCCACTGTGAGTGTCAACTCGACGTGCGGCATTGCTCTCATTTATTTGGAAGCACTTTGATGGGACAGCAGTCTGCATCGCCGTGACACTAGCTAGCTAGGTCGAAGCAAAATGAGAATACCCGTCTGCGAAACGACCGGCTAGAATGCGCGCCGCTTCAAAATGCGTTGCTCCATCTTCCTACAACAAAGTATACTAATGGAGCTCTAGTATTTATTGACAATAGAGTCAAGACGTCCTGACACATTGTTCTTCCTAGATATAATATACTGATTTCAAATGCACATCGATGGCAGCCACAAAGAATTAGAAGAAAGCACATTGACCGCCATCTTTTACAACGATCTCACTGCTGCTTCGCACAAACATTCATAGCAGACAAAGAAAAGCATCAAGACCCTGATAACTCCGGTCTTTCTTCAGAGTCTTCTGGTTTTCCAGGTCTCGTGTCAGTCGCAACCACTTGATCTGGTACGTCTTTCGCATTCATGTCAGGTTCAGCAGGATCGTCAAGGAGAATTGCGTGAGTTGTGGGCCCCCCACCAAAAATGTCATCGACATTGTTAGATGTTGATGGAAATGGCTCATTTGCAGGAGGAGCGTTGTCGGTATCGAAAGAGCCGAAATCTGCCGTGAAGCCATCATCTGCATTATTTCCCGCCGCCGCCGCACCTGCAAATGCGTCATCAAAGTTTGCAAAGTCCGACCACGCATTGTCACCAAATGGCGACTCGGACTGAGATGGTTGTCCTTCGCCGTCACCCCCCAAGTTACCAGCAAACAGATTCATGACAGGAACGTCACCGCTGCTGGTTGTCCGTCGAGGCTGGGAAGGGCTCCCATCACCATCACCGTCATCATCAGATGAATGATCACTGCCTTTGCCGTCACCTTCATCGTCGCTCCCATCAACATTGTATTGTCCAAGACTCCCTAGAGCAAGCCCCAAGCCACTCTTTTTGCCACCCAAGGGATCATCAAAGAAGTATCCTTTCTTCATCTTCTCACCGGAGTCATACGTGTTGCCTGATCCATCTGATTCTTCGTCGTCGCTGCTATCTTCGTCGTCGTCATCATCGTCACCATCGCCATCCGGCCCACGCGCAAGATGCAGTCCTGCCATCATACTAGCAGCAATATCGAGGTCATTGTCGTCCATGTCGATAACTTCTCCGCCGCCAAGCATTCCACGTGGGGGCATGTTTGGCTGGCCACTTCCATCGTCAAAATCGTCTCCGTCGCCTAATGGTCTGTGGGCATGCAACGGGTCGCCTCCGGGAAGTGGGTTGTTGTTGAATCCTCCAAGAGGTGTCGATTGAATGGCTGTTTCAGTTGATAAGGTGGACTTCACAAAATCTTGCCATCGCGACCGTAGTGGGTGGCTATCAATCAGTTTTGAGAGCATCAAAGGGTTGGGTGGTGGAACGCCCTCGGCATTGCTGTCAGCGCCTCTTTCGCTCTCCCCGTCATCGCGGCCTGCATCGCCTGCTTGATTATCAGCCGGTTGAGGGATGTGCACTCCGACGCCTTCTTCTGATGGATAGTTGCCTTCGCCGTTCATAGTTGGAGCCTCTTCCTGCCGATGTTCGGCCAACAACGAACGGCGGTCGTCGTCTTCTCCAATCACCGAATCCGGAGCAGTAGGCTCCAGATCGTCCTCGTTCTCTGTAGAACACGCATGCACTAGAGCTTGACAGATGATAATGACGTGACCCATGTACCCCAGTCGAAACGATTGGGCTGGTGCACCATCAATCATGGCGCCAACTGTGGATGTATCACGTGATTCGTACTGGACCGCTTCTGTAGATACTTGCCCGACCGACACTGCGGTATCCTCCTGTGCGGCGGCAGGTTCTGATTCGGCCAAATCCACCATTGCCGCTGCCGCCGCGGCCATATCTGCGGCTTCCTGCTGTTCCACTTGCTGCTCGAGAACAGCATCCACATCGTCGTCGGAGACGGGTATGATGCCATCCGTCAGTACTCGCTCCGTTCCCTCAGGGGATCCCATATCGTTTGGCTGTGGTGCGTTGACGCCGGCACCGTCGAGGCCCATCTTGGCGTCTTTCATGGCGATAACCAGCTCTTGCTCTGTAAAATCAGGCATTGGAGCACACTCCCTCAAGTTAAAGCCCTCGTGGCTCACGTCGCCAAATGAATCCATCAGTCGACCGAGTAGGTTGCATTTCACGAGGAAATACTCTTGCATTTCTGACCTCGCGTTGGCGCCCTCAAAAACGTGCACGAGTAAGTTGGCAACGGATTGGTGCAACATGGAACACCATTGAAACTTCCAGAAAAGATTCAGGCATATTTCCAAGCAATCGGACTGACAGAGCAAGGAATCGACCGTGCTCTCGCCGAGAAGTACTAAAGATTCCAAAAGTCGGACGATTCGTAAGCGTGACATACCAAGGAGCAAATGAGGCTCAGAAGACTTGGAAAACTGCATGGGCGAGCGCCACGAGTCGCATGTCGGATGCTGTAGTAGCTCCGAGAGGGAACGCAAGAGGCGCGGTATGTGTATGAGTAAGAATTTGAGATCTGCGAATTGTGGAGGCGGTGGCTGTTCCGGATCTTCTCCGTCTTTTTCTTCTCCGTCCTCGTCCGTGGGGAGAAGTGATATGGTTCCCACCGAGCCGTAGCCTCCCAGTTGAAGGACGAGACTTTCCAACACATTCATGGTTGCCGTGAGGGTGCTCTCATGGGGACTAAAATCCTCTCCGTCCCGAAGAGTCGAAGCTCCGTTGATGAGTTTATCCATGATCGGATCGACCGTCAAGATTAGCATTGTCTGTGAGTTGAGTGGTGAATTCTGAATGATGGTAATGAGCACTTCGGACGAGTTTTGCGACAGATTGAGCCTTCGCTCCTGTTCTTCATCCGAGAAACTATTGGTAGCTCCTCCATTTTCACCGTATCCCGATGGATTGATCAGTGGTTGCAACAAGAGGTTGAGTGCCTCTTCTGTCTCACACCAGTTGCACTGGAGTGTCTTTGTTTCGTCGTCGGCTTCTGCTACAATGACACCTTGAGCTGCAGCTGCTGCCGCGATGGCTTCCATTCCAGGCGCCCCCAAGATGAGATTACCTTCGTCTTCTTCCGCTTCGTCTGCGTTGACCTCTGGGTTTGTTTGTTGCTGTAATTGTGGTGGCTGCGGCAGCAGTAGCCTCTGAACGAGTTGCATAATGGAATGGGAATACAAATGTTTGAACATGGCTTTCATCAATGTGACATTGCCTTTTCCTCCACCATCATTAATGTAGTCACTGAGAGCCTGAGGCCGTTTTCGGAAGAGGACTGACAAGATTTTTTCGAAATAGCCAGCTCGGTAGTCGTCCAATTGACCGACGTCTGTGTCATAGAGCAGCGAGAACAACAGATCCAAGATCCGCTGTCTGGGTTCTTCTGATGCTGCTTCGTCTTTTTGTTGTGTTTGATTCTCATCATCATTGGCAGCCGACTCTACTGACTCGCCGCTGTTGGTAGTAGGAACATAGCCATCGACGAGAATGCTAATGAGTCCCTGCAGTTCACAGCATACTATTTCACAAGCCAAGTAAGGAAAGCGAATCGATATATTGTCGGGGTTCATCAAGTCAGCAGCCGCCGAGTTTTGCTTCTGATTGGACGCTTTGTTGTCGTCTAAATGTTGAAAGAGCCACTTTCCTGGCTCCGCGCGTTTTTCTTCGCCTTCTTGAGCTTCTTGTGGTTGCTCTTGCTGTTGTGGTTGTTGTTGTGGCTCTTCTTGCTCTGGCTCTTTTTCTTCTTCCTGCTGTTGTTGTGTCTCTTCCACCGCTTTGTTTGGATCTGCAATGAGGTATCGAACCAGGGATGCGACGGCTTCTTCGGTCGAGAAATAATCCAGCAATTGAGGGTGAAGTCCTCTTAGCTCTTGCAACAGCTCGTCCTCCGCCAGTAACTGTTCCAAGCTATAGTTGCCGCTGTCCAGCAAGTCCTTCAATGGAGACTCAATGGCAAAGGCGCCAGTAGACCAAATGTCGCCAGTCATCCCGGAACCATCCAGTAGGGACATCATGATGGAATGGATGGATAGTCACTCAGATACGATAAAGTGATTGTAGTAGTGGAATTCTTGTCCTCACGCTACGAAATTCACTGCGAAAGCAGCGGCTCAAGGGCATGCAACTGGACCAAGCCAACACAGCGTTGAGCTAATATATAGAACAAGACCTAACACGACGAAAGACAATGGCTATCGTACCGTAGTCTCTCACAGATATAAACAACGACATGCGGTTGTTGGTTTGTTTGGTCCGAGGACGACCAAGGAAGGCCAGAAGGAGCAACGCAAGCACCACCTGATGATTTTTCAGAATTCTGAAAAGGTCATTAGGGGTGGTGCGACTCAAAGGTTTATGATCTTGCGTTAGAACAACATTCCTTCTTGAAAAGTTTCGTTGAGGAAGAGGACCACAAGTATTTTCCTTGCATAGCATCTCCTCCAAAACTGATACAGCCTTTGCTTTGTGCTCTTTAGTTCATCCTGGACCCAGCCTTTCACTACCGGTATACTGAGCTGGATGGCCAGGCCTTTCCAAAATCTCTCCTTGCCATCCTCTTTGGTCTTTGGGCCCAACTCCACCCGTTGCTTTCTCCTGCTTGCTGGAGACTGGCTCCATCACCTAATCTAGCTTTTGATCAGATTACTCATTTTATGAAGTAGAAGTAGTATAATGGACAAGGCATGGTTGTTGTCTCATACAGAGAAAGGAGCGACCCCAGATTGTCAGGGTTGGACAAAGAGTGTTTTTGTGGTAGCTCAGTAGGTCGGTTATAATATTACAACTGCTTCCTACAGCTATGATACTTGCTAGCTCAACTCCCTAAACTGCCTTCCGCTCACTGCTACCGTACATTAACCATAGCAGAGCAAGTCCTCTTTGTTCACCATACCGGTACTTGAAAGTGATGGGCCGAGTCATGGGTCTCTCAAAGTCAAGCTTTGTCCTCGGTGAATGACGTTGCTAGATCCTCATGTAATCCAAACCTCTTCGCTTGCCGTTGTAGCCACACGCAACTTTTTCGCCAGGTGAGAAGTCTCAGCAGTCAACAGTTTGCAAGAGTAGATTGTTCCACACAGTCGTGTCCCAAGGATCTAGAATTCAGACTCCTCCATAGGAGGAACTGGAGCGGGATCCCCTTCGTAGGCTTCGTCGTCACCTCCAGCGGCGTCTGTTACCAAGGAGACCAAACTCTGCAATGTGGCTTCTTCCTCGGGGTGATTCTGTATGTACAAAGCGACAAAACTTTGCTGTGAGTCGAGTCTCATCCCGGAAAACATTCAACTAGTCTAGCTAGCTACGGTAGCCATGACAAAACATATATATCACAAGCAAGAAAATATATAGATGAATCAAACGTACCAGTGTGTAAAAGTAAATCCAAATCAAGGCGACAAGAGCCATGGCATTCATCACACCAGAAAAGACCAAGCTACCCTTGTAGGACTCACTGTCGGCTTGTAGGACCAGGGAGCAGTATATCATGGGCATAAAGCAAACGAAATTCAACGCCGTGAACAAGGGGATGATCCCTTGGTTATTGTCTGTGGCAGCTGCACTGGATGCCATGTAGAACACTCCGTACGATACGGCCAACACGAATCTCAGCCATATCAGGCAGTCTGGCAATTCCGGAAAGGTTTCCGCCGTTGGCTTGGAGCCAAACGAGACAAACTTCGACAATATCTTGGATTCTTTCTCAAACATGGTGAAGCTGTATAGTGGTTGTGAACGTCCTACTAGATAAAAAACGAACAATGAAGTACAGCAGTGTCGCCGATGAGAATCGAATGTAATGGACGGGCCCACAAGGATACCGGTACCCACAATCCGTCAACAAGATCGAATCAATCAAAGCGATTCTTTCAATCGCATTTCATGCCAAAACAAAGAAAAAGTCGCGTACCTTCCTCTCAAGGTACTACTAATGGTTTGCTTCGGAGACACCTCAGTCTCAGGTGCTTTGCCTCGATTTCAATAGACCGCTCTCAAAGTCGCAACAGGGAACTCACCTTCCAGCTCCACTCATCCGTTTTCGTTCATTCTCAAATCCTTCCAAGATGGCGGGATCCGAAAATAAGCGTGATTCATAGGGTCAAAGGGAAGACTCGACTCGTGTCCACAAAAGTTCGGAAACAACACCTCCACCATGACCATGGCAGACCATTGTCAAACGAGGTGCCCGCATTTCGCGACTTTTAGCTTGAATTTATTTAAAGAATTGAATTACTTGCTAAATGGAGGACCGAAAGAAACGTTTGGCAGCCTTGAGGGCACGGGCAGGAAGGAAAAAGGATGCCGAGTCTTCGCCGGCAGAAGAAGAAGTAGAAGTGAAGGACGCTTCTTTGCTGGTGGGCAACAAGGCTGCTTCCAGTACCAGTACCGACAGCGCAGACAAGAAGCGACCACGACAAGACGACAAGGAAGCAGATAAAGAACCCGTCAAGAAGACCAAGACGGCACTGGAAGAAGCGTTGGAAAAGGCCAAGGAAGATTTGGAAACAGGCGATCCCGCCTCTGCTGTGACTACTGCTGATGGTGATACCACCAAAGCCAATAATAACAATGAACTGACGGCCATGGCCCCCAAGAAAATCAATTGGGACTTGAAACGGGATATTCAGCCCAAATTGGACAAACTAGAAAAGAGGACACAGAAGGTGATTGTGCAGTTGTTGAGGGAACGACTAGCAAGGGAAGCGGACGCTGCCGCTGAAGAGGGTACCGAAGATTTGGATTGATTTACTGTATCACAATGTTGTTGTAAAGCTGGATTACGTACTACATTGTTGGTTTGATTGTGTTAGGATTGCATGGTTTCTGTACCAGTAGCTCTTGCGCCATGACCAACTACTACCGTAGCACAGAAACTACTTTTCTCTCTGGAAACACGAGAAGAGGGAGAATTGGCGTGCTTCTTGGTGAAGACATTGTCCGGGTGAGCAATTAACCTTTGTCATGACTAACTACAACAAACTAGACATACCCAACTAACTCTCTTCAACTAACTACGTAACTATTGAATATTCTTGTACCTCGATTTCTTCGTTTTCGTGTTGGCCTGTTTTTGTTTTGCCAACTCGGAAGAGGAAACACCTTTGCTGCTATCCAATGGAACGCCGCTGTCATCATTTTCATTATCAGCGTCCCAGTTGGATGCCATCTCATTGGAATTCGAATTCGAATTCGATACTATTGCAATTCCCTTGGCAGCAAGCTTGGTGCGTGTTGCCGCCGTCATGGGCCGCCCCGTGTATTCGTATCCTCCGAGTAGCAAGCGATCTGGCTTTGCATCGGCTTTACGATTGTCTTTGTAAATGTTCTTTTGACGACTTCGTACCTTGTGCCGTTTGCGTTTTGGCTGTTTCTCCTTCTTTCTTTTGGAATCATCATTCTCATTATTGGATGGATTGTTGCTTTCATGAGTATTATTATTCGTACTCTGTGGATCCTCTTGGTGTGCCAGGGATCCTTCTTGGACGTCTTGCTCTTTCAACTTTTGACGTTCCTTTTTGCCAGACTTTTTCTTTTTCTTCTTCGTGGTGGTGGTGTCGTTCGTCATAGGATCCTTGTCCGCACGATTAGTTGTAGTGGCAATGCCACTTCTTCCCAATTCCTCCTCCTCTTCTTCGTCATGTTCGTCGTCGGAATCGTCTCGACTCCGTTTCTTCTTTCCAACTTGCATCAGTTTGCTCTTGTTGGACGGAATGGTTGTGGGTGCGGGAACGACCGCAGCACCCACACCCAACCGACGATTCTTTCGGAGGCTATTGCTGGAAGGAGCTTCATCGGTGGCATTATTCGTCCCTTTGGCGTCGTCGTCCGCCACAAAGAACGAATCGACTGCGGCAAACGCAGCTGTATTGAATTCTGCCATTGTGGAATCGAATCGATCAATGAAAACAGTGGGGGCCGCTGCAACAACTGCAAAAGTACAGTACATGTACGGTACTCAAGCTAGCACTTGGTTTGATGGCTTCATTGATTGCAAAGAAAACTGACATGGGAGTGTTGGAGACAAAATGGTTGGCAAGCAACGGCTCTTGGGCAGACGCTATTTTACACGCACACGTGCTCCGTCCCCTTTTTTAGAAAGGGGGTCAACTTGCAGCGTGACGCGTGACCTTCCTTTTTTCTTCTTGAGAGGGTGCCGGATACTGGCAAGTCTGCTGTATGCTTTGACTGTTGTGTTGGCCTCAAAGACAGAAGACCGTCAGACCGTCCCGAATTCATTCTTTGCAGCGCCAGAGTGATTGGGATCGAGAGACAGCTGTCGTCCAGAAGTCATTGTTTGAACAAGGAGAGAAGGTTGTCCATCCATCCGTCTATCTATATAGCTAGCTAGTCTAGCAAGAGCTCGCCAGTTTTGATAGTTCCATCGCAATTGGAAGACTGATTCGATTCGATTCGACCATTCGACGGACCGTGAAATCGAGAATCTGAGTGCTTCTCGCTGTCGTTGAAGAAATCAGTTGAGTGAGTTTTTTGTTAGATTGTTTTGTTTTGGAATTCAGAGGAGAAGATGACCCACGAGATGAAGCAGCAGGAGACCTCAGTGGCAGAAACAACAACATCAGGCAGTGCTCAGAATCCAAATAAGTCGGGTGGCAGCAGCAGCGTCGTTGCTGTTGCGACAGAACAGCCACAAATAATGGTAGATGAGAGCAACAACAACAACAACAACAACAAGAATACTCTCCAAAATAATAATGGAAAGGTGGCAAACGACGATCAAACGTCACCGCGAGAACCGAATAACAAGACGCTCATTGCGGGCGAGCCGCAAAAGCCAACGTCGTTTGCCAAGAAAGCTCCTGCGACGACAACAACAACTGGCAAGCCGCCCCGAAACCCAACTCCGCCAAGAGACATGCACCAGCAAAATCCATCCACGGCGAGACAGTATGTGGCTCAGAAAACGAAACAGGGAAACGCACAGCCGCAACAACAACAGCAACAACAACAAGGACAGAGCCAGAATCAAAATAGTGTTGCTACACAAAACCCTCAGAATAGTCAGACTTTGCCACAACAGGGACAACAACAATTCCAAAATGGCCAGCAGCAACAACAAGCAATGCAGAATGGCCAGCAATCGTCTCAGGTACAAAACCAATTCTCGCAGCAATCAACACAACAGCAGGGCATCAGTCAAGCCCCAAACCAAGCAGCTTTTTCACAACAAATGAATCAGTCACAACAGCAGCAGCAGCAGCAGCAAAGTTTGCAGCAGGCCCATCAGCACCAAGAACAGCCACAACACCAGCAAAGTAATCAACAAACATCGCAGGTGCAGGGTCAATACTCACAGCAAAACATGCAACAAAATTTTGTCAGTGCTTCCCCACTGCAACCACCATTGCAGCAACAGGTCAGCCAAGGACCTTACTCCTCACAACAACCAATACAGCAGCAGCCCCAAAGTGGACGACAGCTTCAGTCTCAGCAACAGCAATATGACAATGTGCAACAACAGCAACTTTTTCAGCAGCCGCCACATCAAACACAACAACAACAATTCCAAAACAGTGGTCATCAACAACAACAAACAATGCAGCAAACTGGTAACAATAGCCAACCACAGCACCTGCAGAATAATCAGCATTCGTCCCAGGTACAAAACCAATACTCACAGCAAATGATGCAGCAAAATGTTGTCAGCCAAGGAGCCTATTCACAGCAAATCCCACAGCAGCCCCAAAACAATGGACAGCAGGGCCAGGGATACAATAATATACAGCCAAATCAGCAGCAGCAGCAACAACAACAACAATCAGCGTCTGGCCCAGCCAGTGCATACACGCCACAGCAACCCCAGTCAGCACAAGAGCAATCGCAGCTGCCGCAGCTCGCCATTGCCACAGATCAGCAACAGCTTCGGAAACAGCTCGAAGAACAAGGAAAGAACCAGCAACCTCCAGCGAACAATAGTTTTCGACCTGTCCAACAGACGACGCAGATTGTTGGGATGGTTGGGACAACGCCCATCGTAAAAATTCAAGGAACTGCTGGACACGTTGTCAAAAAGAAAAAAGGGCGATTCAAGCTCTTGGAAGAAGTTCCCGCAGCTAATACACCTACTCCGCCGCCACCATTGGAATCTCCCGCGGGAAACGAAGCCACAACAGCGCCTGCTCCGGCCCTTGCGGCCGCTCCCGTGTCGGCCGTCGTCGTTGCAGGCCGCGAGAGAACCCTTTCGAATGGATCTGCCATGTCTCAAATTACAAGCGTAACACATCATGCCAATCCACAAACCTTTGACGGGACGGGAGCACCTGTTGTCAAGAAGAAAGGAAGATTCATGGTGACCAACGTCAAGAACCCAGGGTTGATTGCTGTGCAGCTAGCAGCGCAACCGGCACCTGCACCCAACAAAGTAGAAGTGACACAGCAGCAGCAGCAGCAAACACCGACGGTGTCACAGCAAAATATCCACGGATCCCCGTCGCATCAGCAGAATCGAAGCGACCCGCCATTGCAAGGGACGCAGCTACCCGCTCAGGACCAACAACAACTTCAAAACGGCCCGGCAGAAATTTTGATACCTGCACAGCAACAGGTAATTCTGACGGATAATAGCATGGCCGTTCAGGTTTTGCCTGCTTCAACTGTGCAGCAACATCTCGTGTATCCTGCGCAGATGATCCAGACACCGGTGCAGCAAGCCTACCTACCAATGGGGCAAGGCGGTGCAGTCATGCCTGACACACCCACTCAGCAGCAATACCAGCAGCAATCTCAAGTAGGGGGGGCGTCTCAAATGACACTACAGCAACCTGTTGGTCAAACTCAGCCACTGGCGGCGTCACCATCAGTTGTTGCTGTTGAAGCGCAACCTCCCATACAAATACAACCCCAGCAACATCCACCACAGTACCAACAGCAACTGCCTCAGCCACCATTACAACAACAGGCATCACAACAGCAGCAGCAGCAGCAACAACAACAACAACAACGTCAGCCACAGCAGCAGTGGCAACAGCAAGCAATGCCCCCCACTCCCCCCGCCGCTGTGTTCACCGTTAGTCTTGGGAATCAAAGTGGTTCGCCAGTTCAGGACTCAGCAAAACAAGGACAATCAGCTCCTGAGGAACCAGTAGGCACCCCAGCGGCACCCGCACCAGCTGCAACAACGAAACAACCGAAGCAACCGCAGGGGGCGTCAGTGGCGCAGGCTCAACCACCTCGAAACAAGCAACGGAATCTCGTTGCTCCACGAAATGTCACTGGATATAGCAATGGAGCAGGCCTTGGCAAGGTTTTCTACTTTCTTGATCAAATGAAAAACGAGGTGACAGAAGCGGACAGGACAATAAAGACGCTGCAAAAAGATATGAAGTTCATGGTAAGAACATCTTCACTGTTTGTTTGATTCGTCTCTCGGCGGGTTTCCTCAATCAGAATGCTTTGTTCAGAGGGAGAAGAATAAGGAACTCGAAGCTAGAAACAGGGATTTGGAAAGAAGACTGAGAGAAGAGCAAGCTTTACGAGAAGCCGCTCAGGCCAAGCTGCGACAGATGAAGAGGAAGGGGCGAGACGAAAAGACGGGCGCCGAAGTTGAGGACGGTCAGAGAAAATCCCGCCCTAACGATTCCCCGGAAAAGGCTCCTCTTTCTCACGCGACTGTGGATACTAAAAAAGCGCCACCAAACAGTGTCAGCGGCAAGGCAAAGGTGTCGGCTGAGTCTCAGACATCGCAGCAACAACAACAGCAGCAGCAACAGGCTAGCAAGCAGGCCCGAGTCGCGGGCAACCAAAACGGAGCAACCAAACCTGCTGCAAGAAACGAACCAGCTGCGGACAAGCAGAAAGCGCCCAAGCCATCACAACCACTGGTTCGAAAGGCTGATACTGCTACCGCGGAATCGACAATTGCCGGACGGAACTTGGCTCAGTTGGAAGGGAAGAAAGGTAATTCTGCCGCGGTGTCAAAACAGACCAAGCAAAATGGGAAACCATTACCGGTGGCGCGTCAGGGGACCTTGGACAATGCCGAGAGCAAAGCTACGCCGACTGCCAAGAATATGGGTCAACTTGCTGCTCCGGACAGTCCATCGCGACCAAAAGTACAAGCCACCATGACACAGCAAATTGGATCGGCATCGAAGACCCAAGATGCTTTGAAGGGTGGTGTTGCAAACGGTTCGTCGAATGTTGCTACGAGAACGAGCGCTGCGCCACCCGGCAATGACACCAGATTCACCATTAGCCAACCCGGTCAAAGGCCCGCAGCAACCGCCCCGAAGATCCCTTCGGCAATCGAGTTTGACCCGCTCAAAAGTGGCCCGCCCGCTTTTCCAGGCCTGTCCTTGGATGCCAATGGGCGCAGCACTCCGATTGACTCGCAATCAGTCTCGAGTGGCAATGCAGCCTTCACAAGCGCCGACGTTGGTCTCGGCAACAGTAGCTTCTCCCTACAGAATCAATACTCGCAGCCTTTCGAAGTCTCTTCTGCTGTGGTCGGGCATTCTCAAATGGCCTTCCCGGTTGTCGGCATCACCCCAGCTGCCAGTTTAATGAGCTATCAGCAGTCAAGTACAGGATTCCCTCAAGGTGCTGCCATGATGCAGGTGACGCATCCGTCATGCTCTCAACCGTTGAATGAAACCCCGAATGGGGCGCTTGCATCAAACTTATCTCTGCTACAACAGCCCTTTCTCCAGGTCTCGTCGGAACAGCCAACATCTGTCCACTCGATGCCGGTTGCTGATTTGAGCCAGCCAATGATTCTTATCCAACCACAGCATGTGCGTGGTGTCACTATGCATAATTTCTCGGTTGATGCGATGCTGCGGAACCAGTCGGGATCCAATATGCAGAACCATCACACACGTGGAAACAGTCTCCACACACTTCCTAATGTCAACGCGAATACTTGGAACCAGAGTTCACAGTGGGCTCCCATGTCAAATACAAACGTCCCACACCAGCAGCCGCAGTCTTTGGGACATCAGGTTATGCCGTCGATGGATCCGGACCCTTTCGATGAGCTCGTTACTCGGCGGCCCATGTCAACAATGTCGACCACTGGTGAATCATAATGTAAAAACTCTCTGTTAGGTTAGTAGCCAATTCTAAATGTACCGTACAGTAGTACGGGAATTCTTGCTGCCCCACTCGAAGGAGCTCGACGCGCCCCGCTACGTACTAGTACTGTACTCGTGTCCGGCAGACAAGCCCAGCCAGGGCTGATGCCCTCCGTACAGAAGATCAGTTTTTGTGCCGCTACCGGTACCAGATTGTATGACACAGCGGAAACATGACACAGTGGAAACAGACTTCATATTACACATAAGTTACGTCTACTAGATCTTTACTTGCTACTTGCTATTAGCATCTCAGGACAACCGGCCGACGAATGGGCTCGCGCCCCAATGCGTTCCTATCGCTTCTTTTAAAAATGTCCTTTCACCCATTACAAGTTCAGAGACACTTTGCCTTAATCCGTCACAACATGTAGATCTCACCTTTCCATCGGTCAATTCTCGGCATGGTGTTAGGGCGCAGAGCTAGGAGCATTTGTGGGCGCAAAGGTTGGGAAGATCGGTGGAATGGGGTATCCAGCTGTGAATGTCAGTAAGTCAGAGGCACTGCATGTGGCTCCTCCAGCGGTTTCTGCCACCAAGGTGACCAACAAGTTGTATGTCCGCTTTTCAGTCAAATCAATTGGGATGCTAACCTCAGCTTGGAAGGTATCCCCTGCATTAACGGTCTGACCAGCAACACCCTCGGTGAGGTTGAAGAAGAAAGGATCAACGTTTGAGGCAACAGTGAGGCTAGTCACTGTGGCTGGTCCTCCAACAAAGTCAATTGGAATATCAACATTGATGGTGAAACTAGCATTGGCAAAACAGCTGATGGTGCCCTGCTCTTCATTTGTCCACTCAACCAAAATAGAAGCACCAAATCGGTTCTTCAAGAAAAGAGTTTGGGAGCAAGAACTGTGGTACTGAACTGACTGGAGAAGGTTGGACAGGTCTCCTGTGTTCTCATCCTTGTAGATGGTAATGATAGAATCTGCTGTGAAGCGCTCGCCACCACTGTCCATCCTATACAAAGAGTTCACAAGGACATAGTCCCTGTGGTAAGTGAGTTCACCATCCTTGTCAGTAACAACAATGAAGGACTTCTCGCCAATTGTGGTTGGGGGGCCACCATTGAAATCTTGACAAGTGAACTTTCCTTCTTCCTGAACATTCCAACTGTTTTCACAGCCTCCACCTTGATAGATCCATCGCATGTTGAGGGGCCTGCCTTCACACTGTGACACAGGAGGTGGGGTGGCATTACAGTTAGGGCACTCAATAACCATCTCAAAGGTACAAGATTCCTGTGTGGGTGGTGCACTTGGGGATGGTGTTGGGGGAGGGGTGGGATCGGGAACTGGAGGAGGAGTGGGTGGTGGAGTTGGGTCCACAACTGGGGGTGGAGTAGGTGGGGGAGTGGGTGGTGGGGTTGGGGGTGGAGTAGGTGGTGGGGTAGGGGGGCGCGTTGGAACAACAATTTCAAAGAGGTAGTCATCATCATCACCACACTCTCCAGTTGCATCATCCATAACAAGAGTAGTAAAGTATGAGGCATCTTCACAGATATCAATAACTTCTTCTTCCATTGCCATTTGACTGCCTCCAGCTGGGAGCTCTGGATCAATATCGGGTAAGAAATCAACCACATCACCTTCACGGTTGCGCTCAAATTGGGTGACCGTAAGATCAACATCTCCTGTGTTTTCAACCACATAGGTGTACTTCACAGTTGTGATGCAATCCAACTCATCACATGAAACAAGAGTCATGCTTCCAAACTTGTCCTTGAGGTACAGATCAACATCTCCGGATGTGTCAATGCCAAAAGTCTGCAAGAGATCACCAGCTGCAGAAAATACAGAGCAAGTGATTTCAGCAGGAAGGACTGAGCCGCTGCTTGCTGTCATGGTGATCATGTCTCCAGCTTCTACATTTTGAGAGAATAGAAGACTGTCATCATTGTCTGAGCAGGTGATTCGGACCGAGCCATCAGTTGGGAGTGTGCCTTCATCGACACATTCTCCTCCTTGAAGGTTGTCACTGTCAGCACAGGCGCAAAACTCAACCATGAATGTAACAGTGGAAATAGAAGATCCTTCTGCGCAATTCCCAAAGGGGCTCACAATCTGGTCACAAGCTTGACCAGGGACCATCTCCCCACCACCACCAGATTCCATAAGTTCCACACATTCAATGGATGCCTAACAAAACAAAAACAAAAACGACTGAGACAGTGTGCCATAGTTTGGGCTGGGTTATTACTGACTGGACACAAAACTTACCACAGCTCCACATGTTCCAACAGGAGGTGGTGTGGGAGATGGAGTGGGTGGTGGAGTGGGAGGTGGAGTGGGTGGCGGAGTGGGTCGG